AACAGTTGATAAAAAAACAGTACAACAAAATTATCTTCTTTTCTACAGCAGCGTGTGCACCTCTGCGACGACGGAATCTCTCGAAAAGTGCAGACTCGCTTGGCTTTTAGACAATAGAGAATTGGCGGTGGGGTCAGTTTTTGCCTTTTGGCCACCAAACTGCTCCACGAGGTAGACACGTGATTTGTAAGATATCTGCTCAATACGCTCTTTTACTTATGTATTAATGCGGACGGAGTTTGCTATAAGTATTTTTGTATAATCTTCTTGCCAATATAAAAATGTATTAAAACCGTTATAATGAACTATTTGCTACTTATTACATACTTATTATCATATTCATGTACTAATTCACATATTAAATAATACAACTTACAATGCACTATAAAATGAAGCAAAAAAAAGACGCCAAGGGCACCCGGGATTCCCAAGCGGTCACCCATCTAAGTACTAACCGGGCCGGACGTTGCTTAACTTCAGTGATCGGACGAGAACTGGTGCATTCAACGTGGTATGGCCCTTGACGAACTAATATCAACTTTCGTCCCCAGATATCGTACAAATTTCAAGGTCATTTACACTGCATGCAAAGTCAGCACGTGTAGCAGGGATTCAATTCAAAGTACACCGGGATGGATAATGTCATTTGTAAAACGTAAAGATATGTATGTATGACCCAACTTCACTTTTAGTATGCATGCATACATCTTTTTATGTAAATAATGTATGTATAAGCATACAAAGTGTCAAATGGAACAATAATATGAAAGGCTTTTAGAAAATTTTAATTGGCAAGTGTTCCTGTGATTGTATTTAGACTTCGCTTTGCAAGTTAGACATCTTGATGCATACTCAAAAGTTCTTCGGGAATATTTTTTTAGTCCATAATGAGTCTTACTAAAAAATGATATTGCTATTTGATAAATATATCTTTATGAATTTTGCAATGTAATATTCTCGTAATCGTATCTCGTGGAAATGTTCTTCTCGTATATTTTATTTTTCATGTCGCTATTGCTGTTCTCATTGCACAATAAGATGTATTAATTTGGTAAAATATAAAAAATCCATTTCTCAAATAAAAACAATGCCGAAATTTATTCAACTCTGGAAGTCTGGAACGTATAAAAAATATCACTGTCGAAATAAGCATAATGTAGCAACTTTAACTGCAATTTATTCAGATTTCATGCATCAGCAGGAACTCCTTGATCGAGTAAACATCAAACTTCACAGATTTTTAAAACTGGTAAACACGAAGCACAGTGAAAACGAGTATCTGGTGCGATTTCACTAACATGATCACGCTGACGGATGGAGTGGGCAGAGATTTAAAGTCGCTGTAGTTTCTGATGATTGTACTTTTAAACAATTTTCATATTATATCTATTCATATGAAAATAAAATCATGTACATTTAGGTTTCTGAGTAGAAATTTATAAATATGCGTGTAAATATTTATACTACAATGCAGCAACAAACCATATTACAAAAGCATTGCATAAGTGTCATTGAAATTAATTTATGGTTTTCTGGTGGTTGTTCAATTATAAATATTACATAATTACAATAATACAATAATTTACTTAAAAATAGAAAGTTTTTGTGGTCTCACCGAAATGAATTACTTGGTGTGTATTCAAATAGTCTCAATATGTCAATATGTATGTATGTACATATTCATAATCAAAAATAGGGTTGCCGTTTTTATCCGAGATTATCCTATCCGATCGGATAGGATCGGATAATGTCGGATAGGATAAGGAAAAATACGATTCGGATATCCGTCGGATAGGATAATTTTTTCAAATTATCCGACTCGGATTATCCGATGTTGTCCGTCGGATATCCGACGGATATCGGATAATTTAAAATGACGAGTTAAGTGTAATTTGGACACGTTGTATGTGCGAAAGTAAAGTAAATATTCCATCTCCAATTGTATTTCATTTTCATCCATGGATATATTTAAGTAATTTCAGAAAATCTTAGTAAAGTAAGCAGATGTAAAGTCATTACCATGTCAGACACCAAACGGTTCCCTTTGTGGTAATATATAAGATTATTTTCCCATTGCTTAGAGAATCAATCTAGTTCTGTGGGTGCTTTAAAGTAATTAACTTGAATATTGACATTGTGATAAATTAACCTGATTACATACTGCGTATCATACTTATTTAAACTAATAAAGAAAAGTGGAGACTTACAAAAAGACGTTTGTCAAATACATAAATATGTATCACTTCTAATTCCTACAACTCCCTTAGTAGTTCAGACTGTGCTCAATGCACTTGACATAATTTACGGAGAGCATATGTAAATCGAATACCCGACAATTGTTGGCATTATTTGAAAAATGTGTATTTATTTTGCTAATTAATTTGATTATCCTATCCGTCGGATATCCGACGGATATCGGATAGGATAGGATAATATTTCTGAAATTATCCGACTCGGATTATCCGAACACTGGATTTATCCGATCGGATAAAAATTATTTTTATCCTATCCTATCCGATCGGATGGCAACCCTAATCAAAAATCTCTGCAGTATTCGGGGATAAGGTACCTAACTTTATCTTGCAATTGCTCAGTCACCTTCATCAAACATATTGAATAAAGATTTTTGGTAATCAAAATATACTCGTAAACAAATCATTTATTTTATAAATCTAAATATCTTTATTTAAAAAACGGATTGCATGTACAGGACCTTGCATACTTTGATACCTCCAATTAGTTATATCTAAAAGCACAAAAGTGAAAATTATCTATAAATACTTGTGTGTAATTACAATGATAATAACATAAGGTCAATTGGGATTACTTTATTTTTACAAAAATAGAATTTCTATCCAGATAATTTTTCCTTAGAATTTCTTCTCCAGAACGTAAAATGATACGCAAAAATTGTTTATCAAATTGATTTTAAACGACTCCATTCCTGTTTTTAGCCCGAGTCTGGGCTTATTATTAATATGTGTGTAGTACTGTGATTATTGTTTTCGTGTATAGAATCGCGATGTTTTATTAGATAATTTGTTCCATAGAATGAATCTCGACTATCTAACACTGCTTCCCCGAATTACGCGGGCCATATCGATATCCGAACAAGGGTCCATGGGGAGTGAAAATGACATCGCCATGGTAGTAGTGATGACGTCGGACCCTCCGCGGTACTCCCCCGAAATAGTTGTCCTCTTCGTCGGCTGCAAAGTTAGATTAAAAATTACTTTCACGTTTGCAATTAATTTTTCTACAGATTTTTTATTATTAATTTATTCATATTTCATGTTTTCTTACCAAAATACGCCTCTGCGAGCAAAACCATCACGCCCATAAATAATATCACCAACGCTAAAGTTCTCATTGTTGGAGATAATGCCAGTTTAAATAGCTTTGTACTTTTTGTTCCAAAGTTGACTAACTTTAGGATATTTGTGACTGACAGGAATATACCTTTGTAACCCGTTTTATTTATAAACTTTCTTTTCAAACAATGGTCGGTTTTAGAGGATCATGTGTAAGATAGTTATGTAAGTATGTAGAGTGGCAAGCTTTCAGTTAAAATGCATTGAAAGTCATAAGTATTACATTTAATTATGTACTTGAGGAAAGGACCTATGACAGAATGGATGTTTTTCTGAACATTGTTTTTTGAACTAATTGTTTTTTTTTCAATTGTCCTACAATGTGTAATACTGTTGTCTTTGTGTACCAGATTTCTTGTGCAACTGTGCAACCGCGGGTGCCGGGAAAGTGGGGGGGGGGCGAAAACCGGAACCGTTGGGGTTAAGTTTCTTGACGAACGAGTAGCGAATTTCGTCGCCACTTATCAAGATTACATATACTGACCCACGCTCATAATGCATAGCTGATCTGGCAAATGCACGTCTGTCTACATACATACATATGTACATATGTACAATGTACTTATGTACATATCTGCGTACATATGTACATGAATTACGTATGCATGATGCATACGAATGTACATCATTATTACTGAATGACTTTCTGCAACTTTTCACGCGTTGATTAAATAATTATAATAATAGTTAATTGAATAAATACGCCAATGTTTTCACATAATGGGGAACTTATTCAAACATATGTGAAAAAGGTGACACCCAAACACAAAGTCATTACTTAATTGAATCCTCTGACAGTTGAAAACATTCTGAACAAAATGGTCTCCTTATCCAACTCGTCTCGCAGTACGACACACATTTATAGTTTATGTATTTAAAACTAAATTATGATTCACTTCCCCCACCTTGTTTCCATGGGACCACCCAAAACCTCCCCCAATCCCACATTATCAGTTGAAAATTTACTCCTCACTTGGGCAAAATGGCCCCTTTTTGGCGTTCAATTTAACGGATATCTTCCCCTCTCCGTAACAAAAAACGGTATAGAATCTCACACGCCCCCAAATATAAAATCACCCCCACACAGTAAATCATTATTCTTCAAACTATCCGGAATTTCCTTCATCTCCCAAATTTCCGTGATCACTGCTTTCATAGTTTTCATGGTCGGCTGGAGAAATGCTTAATTCTTATTACGAAGTCGGACGAGACTTTGTTGAAATTGGAGAGAACGCCGTGTCCTTTGTTGAATTCGTCGTCTAGATCGGCATTTCTCCAGCCGACCATGAAAACTATGAAGGCAGTGATCACGGAAATTTGGGAGATGAAGGAAATTCCGGATAGTTTGAAGAATAATGATTTACTGTGTGGGGGTGATTTTATATTTGGGGGCGTGTGAGATTCTATACCGTTTTTTGTTACGGAGAGGGGAAGATATCCGTTAAATTGAACGCCAAAAAGGGGCCATTTTGCCCAAGTGAGGAGTAAATTTTCAACTGATAATGTGGGATTGGGGGAGGTTTTGGGTGGTCCCATGGAAACAAGGTGGGGGAAGTGAATCATAATTTAGTTTTAAATACATAAACTATAAATGTGTGTCGTACTGCGAGACGAGTTGGATAAGGAGACCATTTTGTCGTATTCTCCTCCTGTTCCTTTATCAATACAATCGGTAACAGAATCTACGGTTTGGTCAGCATAAATAAAACCCTTGGATTTTGGACTTATCAATGTGATAAATTTAATCTTATCTCGCTTGCCACGTGGAACCTCGAAATTGTCACGAATTTAAGAAAGGAAATTTCCAAATCGTTTTTCCGCAATGTCGCCTTATTTTGTTTTTTACTAGGCACGATTTGTTTCTCGGATTTATTTTTTGTCACAATTTTCAAATTTTCAAAACCCACCGTCATTTCGGAAACGTTCCGCAAAAATCCTGTTTCTCTCGCAATCGGAGGATTTTTTTGGATTTATTTCAACTTTTTTCATTGTTGTCTCTGCATCTGGTTAAGCGTGTTTATCAAGCTGTATACCGCTGGTGTCCATGCAATTAGGGGACAAGTAGAATGTAATGTGTTAACAGTGCAAAAAATTTCGCAAATTTCCAAGTCGTATGACGTCCTTATTTCCTTGGTGGACCATTACAATGACCAAGTTGGACTCAGGATATTCTTGGATGTGGCGTACAACCTAATTTATGTCTTGTGAAGTACGTATTTTGCCATTGTTTCAATTAAATTGGGGGATTTTGGGAATGCGGCGACAACTTTCGCGACGACAGTGATGTCATTTTATGTTTTGTACTTGTATGGAAATGACGGAGAAAATTTGGAGGTGGCGAGGACGCAATTGGTGAAGATTTTGTGCCAATTGGGAGATAATTATAGACGCGAGGACGAATTGAGCTGTCAAGTTGGTTAATTTTATGCTGGGGATTTAGTAGGTTTATCTAATTGAAGTTTTTATAAAATCGACAGATTCGAAACTTCCGGGATAAAGTGACCACTTGCAAGTTGAGGATCACTCCGAAAAATTTCTTTGTACTTGGGAAAGGTTTTATTCTTTCGGTAAGTTGGGATGTTATGAAATCAATGTAATAGGTGTACTTACGGTAAACTTCGAAAATTTCCAAAATTGAGCGTGTGCATCAGCATATGTAATTTTGCGAGGGTTTCGGAAGTTTGTGACATTTCGCATAACTTTTTGTTGGGAAGCTGTAAATTTGCACAATTTCCAACAAATGTTATTGCAAATTATTTTCCGTAAATTGGTCGTTGGTAAATGAGACGTTGCCGCGAATGTACGCCAAATATTTACGTGCTTAGTTCATTTTGTTCGTCTCTATTAAAAAATCGTTTTGTTTTCAGACATTGTCCATCTTAATGACGCTCTTAATCGTCCTGGCCCAGTTTAGGGACTCAGACGTAGCAGGTGGAGTACGAAGCTAACTATGTGATTACATAGTCTGATTATAGCTCGCTAATTATCTTAAAAATAAGTCAATTCAACTATTTGAGTATTCTACTTGTATCGATCTGCATATGTCAATGAGTTACATATGTAAAAATGTGTATATTTATTCAGAAATTTTGAAACCACTACTTTTTCAATTTCATATCAAACTTATCACTCTAATTTTATTGAATCTTAAAAAGAAATCGTTATTTGGAATTAAAGGAAGGTTGTTAATTCAGCTGCGTGTCATGCGGGGTTGACCTGGCACTGCAAAATTAGTGCAAATCATCTCGATTGTCATAAAGGGAATCTTGGATATCTATACGCTGCTGTATGTACATAAGTGCCTCCACATGCACTTATCCTTAGGTATGTAAGTACATGTACCTGCACAGATACGTACATATCTATACCAGAGACTCGATCGAGTCAAGGCGCATTATGAGAATTTTGTCATTACATGACGCAAATCATGACCTCTCGACTGTAATTGTCATCAAGATATAGATATATAAAGAATTATGTAACTATGTATGTATCCAGAAAAAATCTATTCGTGTCACTATTTGTCTGCTAAAGGTCTAGAGTCGACAAGGGTTAGGACTGTACCCAGTAACATCAGTTAATTAATATGTAATTCTGTTGAATTTAACTTGCATGACACATATGTATCGGTATACCCAATTTGGATTAATCAATTTCATGCAGCCATTTATAACAATTCAAAGTATTTTAGTCTTAGAAGCTTAGCTAGAAGTGGGGACATAGGTAAGTATGTACTAAGACCAGAATATCGAGTATATATGTATGTAGGTTAGCCCTGAACTTATGTACTACATACCTATTTACATAAGATGCAAATATGTATAGTACATGATCATAGAATATTTTGACGTTATAATTAGTTATTCATGCTATTTACTGTTTTCTCGGAGCTAACATGCCCTAGATTCAACCTGTGGAAAATGTCCATCTCCAACAATGTATTCACAAACATCTCTTGTTTATCTAAGCAGAGTCAATACAGATTTATCATAATATCTGAAATATGCATGTACTTTATTTCAGTGACATCAATTCCAAAATTATGTATATATTATCGGATTAGCTAAAATCGCGACGTAATAAATACTCACACTTATACAATCACAAAGTCATAATCGTACACAATCGTCTTTTGTGTTTAACGGCAATTTAAATTTTTTATAATGTTCACTGCCAAAATTATTTCAGACATTCGAACCGTCATAATATTTCTGCGAAAAACTCGCCTCTTTCCATTCGAATGGGACGATACGCGCAATACTTTGACCACGACGACCTCTCTGCTAACCAAGCTATGTATCTGCGCTTACTGTCTCCACTTTCCCCCATATATTTTATACCTGACCTGGCAAATAAAGGGGTGGTCGATGGGGGCATGCACCGGATTCAGCGTCATGGACAAGTACTGGCTCGTCATGATGCTGGTGGGCTACATCATGTGCAGTGAATGCATGTACGGCCCATTTCTCAAGAGGAGGGAGCAGGTGTACTTCTTTCGACAAATTGTCATGTTGGAAGGCAAATTGAAACGTAGTTGCATAAATATTAACCAGGGTTTCTGTACTTTATTTTTTATGATAGTTTTTGTAAGCAGGGTTATGTAAGTTCAAAATTTCAAAAAATCAGATTAATCAAAATTTTAATTTGTATGGGAATTTCGATACTTCTGCTGATGAAAAGTTGTCAAGAATTGTTGATCAAAATTGAACTACAAAATTCCCGTACATTAAAATTTTAAGTACTCCGATTTTTGGAAATTTTGAATTTGCATAACCCTGTTCATCAAAACAAAGTACCATGGAAAATAAGGGACAGGAACCGTGATACTATTTTGCTGATCATCTACTCAAATGTGTACTGATTTTATTTTTGAAGGTCTGTCAATTCTTGCGGGGTCCGAAATAGTCCAAAAATCTGAAAAGTTGGCCAATCTGATCATTCAGGTCAATGTCTTTTGTGCAGTGACGGGTCCCATATTTCTCAATCTGGTCTACCTCAACCAGCCGACTTCACCACAATACGTGTACCACGCGTTCTCGGAGAATGGTAGCCGATCAACGTTTTTGATATTTCTGGGGGTGGAACTCTATTCCAAGACGATAAATATTTTTGCAACGACGTTGTTCCAGGCGTGGTTTCTCTGCGCGGTACTTTTCGAACATACCGCCCTTCAATTGTTGAGGTGAGATGGATAGAAATCACTAATTTTCATGTCCAAGAAAGCTTTGTTAAATGATACACTCTTAGAAATCCCTTCCCAGATAACAATTCGCTCTGAATTCTCTTATGTTTCGATATTACATTCGCTTTGATATCGATATCGAATTCGCCTCGAATTTCCAACTTTCGAGATAAATTCGAGGAGATATCGAAGGGAAATGTCCGCCGATTCGACAGAGAATCGATGGAGAATCGTATATCGATTTCGCCGGTAAGTCTTCGCGATTTCGTCTTGAATTCGATGAATATGTAGGAGTTCATAACGATTTCTAAACGAATTCAATGCGACTTCTCCACGAATTTAATGCGACTTCTATACGAATTCACTGCGAATTAAGTAATAAATCGATACGATTTCTCCTATATTTCGAGTTAATCCAGCTTATAGTTTATGTTATTTATTCTAAATATCATGTAATATACATAACTGTTTACATTAAAATAAACATAAGTTGAATAATCAGATGACCCTGGTAGTGAAATTGGCCGCGATGTTAAGTCACTTCCTATTGAAAATATACTAATGTTATTTCTAAAATCTTTTCCAACAGTTATTATCGATTGTATATATTTGTACCTCATACGCTTCCCAACTCTATCTGCGACGTTCTTAAGAGATTTGTGTATTTCTTCGTCAACTGTGCCCTCGTCTGGAAAATTTGGAGTCCTAGGGTGAGCTGCTACCGCATCTGAGATTAACATATTTTTAAAATGTTTTAGAGTGTTGCATAATGAGATTGCATTATGAGGAATTTTAAATTCAAGGGACCAATTTTGGATACTATATGTAATATCGAAAGTATCAATTTCACCTTCGATTTCTGAGCTAATTGTTTCAGTTGAACTTCCTTCACTCGTGTTACTTCCGACTTCAATTTCTTCCAGATCTTCTTCGAACACTTGTTCTAAATAAATGTTTTCCCCTTCGGCCTGGACTAGGTCACTATTTAAATTTTCCTCAAAAATTTCACTGCGTCTTTTTACAAGTCTTCTTTTTTGGCGAGCACTCAACTGAAAAAGTCGTCTCCTTCCCATGAGGAAAGATTTGAATGTGGCAGCTAAAATTACTTAAAAATATAATAACAGCGTGAAAGAGAGAAATCATAGTGAATTCTCTAAGGATTATTTACGAATTCGAGATTTAAGGCGAACAGTATATAGTCTCCTATTCCTGTAAGAAGAATTCCTATCGAAATCGGGGAGAATTCCTAACTACAATAACAGCGAATTCGTTTAAGAATTCATAGTGAAGTCGTTTCGAATTCGATAGAAGAATTCTCTGAGAATTCGAGTCTAATTCGTTACGAATTCTGAAATGAGCGTAATATCGAATTTAGGTACGAATAATTACCGAATTCGATGCGAATTCGATACGAGAATAATAACGAAATCTGAGAGAATTCGAGTTCTCTGTTTTAACGCGACATTCTCTGCGAATTCTCTAAGCGAATTCATAGCGACCTGTTATCTGGGTTGTTAAAATAATACCAGGCGGTATTAACATATGCCTCTATCAAAGTGGTATCGACAAGTAATATCGTGCAGTATGTAATTAATGTAATAGCTCGGTATTAAAATTTTACTATATCAGTAGCAAATTTTTAAGGACCGGTATAATCTTGAACACCAAGAATTAGCGGCTTTAATACCAAGAAATCAATACCAGCGTAGCTATACCAGATTTATAATAGTGTTCGAAACTAAGAGTCAGCAACACCACGGAATTGGTTACCCATTGATAAGTTCTTTTTTAATTATCAAATTAATAAACCTGCAAATTTTCTTACCTAAAGATCTTGCAGAGATGCACTACCCACTAAAGTAAAGTACTACACGTACCTCTACATCATCAACAATCTACACAATCAATCCTACCCGAGACACATGCTCCCCGAAAAGGTCGCCTTTTTCGGCTGTATGACAATAACTTCGGGCTTCGTGGCGATCCGACTTCTTCACCGAGTTCCAATTCCTGAGCAGGTCATCGTCTGGCAATTCTTCGCAATGATGTTGATCGTTCCCTGTCTGTTTCTCAGCATTTCTGGGAAGATCACCAACGACAGCGTCACGATCCGATTGGAGATGAAGAGGTCCACGGAGCGCGGGAATTTCAAAGTGTGGAAAAGAGTTGTGCGGTCGTTGAAACCGTTCGGGGTGAGCGTTGGGCCAATTAGGGCAGTTCGACATAACGGATTCCCCGCATATTTGGAAAATGTGATTAGCGGGTTGACAACGGTGTTGGTTAATTATCCTGAGGTTGTTTAAACCTATAAGGATTGAATTATATGTATGCAATAATAACTATGACTAATTAGCATAAGGTTATGTAAATGGGGAGCTAAATGGGGCAATTCATGGAGTCATTGGTAACTCGTAAAATCTGTAAGTGTTGTAAAATAATTTTACAAAATAAAAAGACACACTTGACCTGAATAAGTTTGCAAAAATGTGTATGCTAATTTTCCTTAGAAATGCTTGTAAAGTTTGCAAAAGTTTGCAAGTTTACATAATCTACGGAGTTTACAATGTTACTATGTAAGGCCTGCCTCAATATTTGATGCTGTTCATGACTTTGTGCAGTGCAGAGTGTGTACTGCTAGAATGAATCTAAAATTGATGAGTGTTTTAGCGCCTATGGATAGATAGTGTTCAATCTCAATATGATGGTTTCTACCTTAATTGTCTAATTGTTTGACCCCAGACGATTAAGCATGTTAAATTTATCCGAATTTCCAGAAATATTAAGTTTGTAAGTTTATAACTTTTCTTAGGTGAACAGATACATATAGTGATGAAATTAAAAAAACACTTTACAGTTGGTTTTTGATAATTATAATTTGTTAATTTCATTGTCCCTGCTTCTAAATTATATAGAGTGTACAAGTTAACGACGAAATTAATTACGTTCTCAATAACCGTTTGCGTTTCTTGAATTATGTATTTCATGTTATTGTAATTTGTTAAATTGTTCATTAGTGTAGTTTCTCATTAGGATGAGAATAAAATAAAGTGCTTGTTAATCCACCTAACCGAACATTAAGCTATGAGACGATACCTACATATATTTGCAATTAATACATACATTTATGGTTACAGTCTCAGACGCCCCTCTCATTTCACTGCATATACTTTGAAAATCCTGTACTTACTATGTAATACAACGCTTATAATAATGGGGCTTATCTTTGAATAACTAAACATTTTACATAAATAGATAACTTACCTAATTTCCCAATTCAATCCCAAAAATGGGGTCTAAAATTTCATCTCAAATTCCCACCGATATTTCAAACCCTCGCCCATCTTTATTAAACGGAGCTGTCTTCCCTTTCCGAATCTTACAGTTCTGCGGGTACTTTCCAATTTCAATAAAAACAAATTCACCAATTCTCCTAAATTCCCCGCCTTGGTATAAATCACCCCCAACAATTTACCTCCTCACGTTGACTACCGTCATCTTCGTGCCCTTTATTGTTGCCCCATTCCTCGATCTCGACGCCTACACTACCGCAATATCCGACTTTGTTCCCAAATCCAGAAACACCTTTTTAATCACCAACACTACTTGGCTAATCATTTCCATTTTTACCCCAGCACTTACCCGCTATAATTTATTCATAAACAGGTCAAATTTCTGCAAATTTTGGCAAACTTATTGCACTTTGGTAGATAAAATTGAGACATTCTCGTCCCCACAGGATCACCTCATTTCGGCAAATTTGCTCCACACCCGAGTCAAATTTCTGGTTCATTTCGTCCTCCAAATTATAATTGCCGCTATACAAGTTTATCTAGCTGTAAACTTCACCGCCAAATTTGATCATTCCGCCGTCATCAGAAATTACTTCGTCGTGGCGATTGAAGCCTGGGTGTTGGCGTTTAAGGGACTATTAACCTTATTTTCGCTACATGGCGTCATCTATTTTGTGACAAGTTACGACTTTTGCGTCACTCTTTTGGCCAATATTTTACAAAGCGAGGAGGGAAATTTATCTCGGGAGAATGAGAAGGATTTCGCGACTTTATGCAAATCTGGGGGAACACGTGTGTAAATTCAACGCTTTGTTTGGAACCTCGTTGAATTTGTACGTGATAAACAGTTTGGGATACTTGCTGTATTTCGTTTACTTCATTTTGCTAATTATTGGAAGGAGCGATTTAGTTTTAAATGTCGTGAACGTTTTGCAATTGTCCGTTTTCATGGGGTACTTTTACTGGTTGGCGAGCAGTGCGAGCAAGCTGGAAGGGAGGAGTAAAGAATTTTGTATCAGGGTGAAATATTTTTGGTTGGGGGACGACACAATTTGTGGCGTTGTGGTGACATCGATTAACGGTTCAAATTACCAGAGTGACGATACGGTAAAAAGCAAAGTGTTCAAGTGTTAACAAGATTTTCTTCATGTTAAATACCTAGATTTCTTTAAATTCTGGTTTGATATTTATATTTTTAGCGTGATCTTACAGGATTCATTCCCCTTGATCCTATCACGATTGGCAGTTCAGTGATGGACTTAAATTTACGACTGTTCCTTTCGGTTAGTTGATAATTGACGTGCAATTTTTAGTATTTATTACCATTTTTGGTTTCTCTCTCTTAATATTTAGATGATCGCCGCCATAACGACATATTTGGTTATCATTGTCCAGTTTCAAGCCGGTGAAGGAACTAACTGACAATGCTCACAATTCATGGTTATCCACATTCTCTCCACTGTCACATGTATCCAATAGCTCATAATATTCTAATGTCTGGAACCGAGAAGGTCATAATTTTAATGTCAGATTTATTTAGAGGTATAGACACTAATAGACAGACATAATAATTATTAATTGCATAATAAAATAGCCAGTTAATTCGAACCCTGACAAATAAATACGTACAATTTGATTACTGACTTCATAAACCTGTTAATTTTCCTATTTATTGTAACGATGCTCTTGTGGATCGTATATTCGTACAAAAACACGACCCACGCCAACGCCAAGGCGACCGAGCAAATGATAAAAGGGGCTAACAACATATTAATCTCAATTCCCCCCAATCCCGCTTGACCACCTAACATATTTACACTTCCCACCCTTCCGCTAGCCCAAAGTTGCTGCACTAACCCATAAATACTGCCGGACTCGTTGGTTGCCCTTATTTTAAACTTATTTTGCACCAAAAGTCTTACTTGTCCCGCCACGTGCGAATTTCTTCGCCACCAGGAATGAATCCCTGATTCTACTAGTGCCCCCAAATAGCGGGAAAAGATGTCATAAACCCCATTATAATACACGATCCAAGGCACCCTGAAAGTTATCGGGCTCGGACTGTCGTTCTCCACTTGGATGAATTTCGCCCCGAAAAAGTTTAAATAATTGGAAAATGCTGCGATATCTTCTTTCACACTTATCACAGCAAATTTATTTCCAATCTCGATACTGCCCTCGTCCTTGCTACTAAAACAATCCCAAACGTGAGGGTCCGCACAAGTCTCAACTTGCACCGTGCGAGAAATATTTTCTGCTATTTCGACCCCCTTATGAAACGAGGGGACAAAAATGGTGCGGCTGAGGAGAGCAGTGGCGATGGTGTGGAGCCCTTCAGTGGGATCGAGAATCCCGAGCAGGTCGCGACACAATATTTCCAAGGGCGACATGGGAACTTTGCTAGCAATCGAGGTGAAGTAAGTCGTAGTAATCAACGAGATCTTTGGGGCTTCCACGATTTCCTTTCACCCATCGAATCAAATTAGTCTCCCCAGTATCGCTGTTAAACACTCCAAACACTGCGTTGGTAGCAATATGAGAAACTATAGGAAATATCAAAATCGCATTTTTACCCAGGTTGGCGTCTTCGAAAAAGATTAAATGTGGATTCTCCCAGGAATCGAGGACTTGTCGGATGGCGATAAAAGTTTGGAGTGAGACATTGCCAGGAGGTAACCAATATGAAAATATTTGTACAACAGTGCACACATTATGCCTCGAATATACGTTTCGATAAGTGATGTCACTATGATAAGTCGGCAGGATTTCTTTCATTCCATAACCTCTCTTCTCGAACATGCTAACGATTGTTTCGTTAATATGCGTCAAGATAACGGGAGGTTGCCTTGACTTCGGGATAATTCCACTTAATTCGTCGGGGAAAATATCTGGGCCAATTCTACCCGCTGCGTCATACCGGGTGAAGTCTGTTCTTATGTGAAAAGTACAATGGGAAAAATAGGTCGGTATGGGAATACAATTACATGGCGAGAACGAAAATTGTATAAGAATTTTGTAAACCAAGCCAAATTTGTGTGCAATTTTCGACTGCATTTTAAGCTTTATCAAGTAAAGGAACACATAAATGTGTGAATATATACATACTATGTCCAAAGGAGATGCGTATCTATACTAACAAGGAAATCCTAGGGAAGGACAAAACAAGTAAATTGACACATTCACCCAAATGTTGGCTAAAGTTATAACCAAGTTTTTACTATTGTGTCGACATATAAAATATGAACAACAGGATGTGCTTTGTAAAAAGAAAAAAAAAATTCTGGACGAAATAGACAAATAATGTACATAATTATAGCACGTAAAGATATTTATGATAATAAGTGTATAACTGTTTTAATAATTACTCACGTGAACCTTATGTATGTACATACATACATATGTACCTCATACTTATTCATAAATGTATATGTACATACATACATATATACATAGTCAGGAAGGAATTATGTACGTACATCTTCAAGCTACTAATGGTATGTATGTACTCCATAATTTAATTTTCAAATTAGGGTATTCATAACGTAGATTAACGCTTATTTATTAATCACAAAGGAGTGTTTATTGTATTCCAACACGATCGATAGATATTTAAATATTTATGCACATAAATGTGTGATTACAAATTTCCATTTACACATTTCTTGTAATTATGTTTAACGCGTTATCTGTAGAAAGTTCGTGCAATTACGAAAGGCATTTATTTGTGTATGGAACAAGTTTACTTTAGATAAATTTGTCAATTTATGATAATCCGATACAAATTCAGCTAAATAGAACATAAAACATTTTAACACGTTTAAAAAAATTAGCAAAAAAACGTCTCTTGTAGACCGTTCGTCTTAGACGTTAATGAAGTTGAATATATATGAAAAATGTTGACGATTATTCTCGCCGAAATGATAGCAATTAAAAATCTGAGACCATATAAAGTTACAACAAATATTACATTTCTTAATAATGAAATGCTATTAAATATTTAAGTATCTCACGAGATACTTTATCGGAAGAATCAGAAGAAACTAGAAAGTCGGAATTAAGTACGAGTACTTATGTAATTCCGACTTTCTTAAGACCGTGTTTGCTCGTCATGATGTTTCGTAGTACCAATAATTAACATTACATTAAAGTACTTGTGAAAAATTGCATTCATCTCAAAACTAATGAAATTGACGCATTTTAGAAATTTACATTTTAAAAAACGACATTGAATAGGGGTAAAGTGAGCTTAAAAAACAGAATCGACCATTGAAACAGTGCAGTCCACTATTACATAATTTGAGTAAATCGGATTTAGGACAGGTTTCAACCAGATTTGATTTGATTCTCAAGTTGAGAATCTCACCTTGAGATCGTTGACAATCTCAATCTCAACACAGATTTCCAGCGCTAATAAACGAGTTCACAAAGTCTTAATTTTATCAGTCTGACTCCAGCCAAGCCAGAAGGAGGTTCTCTGCTCGCTCTCTCGCCAACATCACTACCTGTTTTTTTCTGGTTAACCCCAAGAAATGATTAAAAATTCTGAAAAAATGTCGAGAACTTGTTGTTTCGGATGCTGCACGGTGGGACATGGAACCCTCACGATTGGAATTCTTCACATTGTAAGTAATTTTATTATACTATTAATAATTATTTTTAGAATTCGCAAAAGGAGATTTATGTATTATCAAATTAATAAAATTGCACTTGTGTAATGATAATTGTTACCCTAAATAAAAATGTGAAGATTGTACTCTCGACTGGATTTTAAGCAGAATTTAATAATTTCAGATCTGCGCCATCCTCTCCATGATCCTGAATTCCATTGTGATCTATTTCATGATCAACTGTCCCAACCAAATCATTCGTCAAGATCGTAAGCATTTTTATTGAATATGTCACATTATAAAATTCAGCCCTTTCCATAATGTAAATAAATAATAAACACCACAAACAAATTGATTTCTACAGCCCGTCGCTACATCACGTTCAGTTGTATCCAGATCTTTATGGCGATCGTCTACTTGATCTTGGCATGCCTCATGGTGGATGGATATCGCATGGTAAGCTGTATATATATTTATCCTGCGAAAAGTTGTACAATTTTAATTAAAAAATGTGATCATATTTTTAGCGAAAACACCGCTTCATCATGCCATGGTTGGTCTGGAACTATGTGTCCCTTTGCCTCGGTGCTGCCGCAACTGTGATCCTGTTCTTACTGATGGTCGTCGCTGGACAAGTCGGTGCGGGATTCATTGTTCTTGCTATTTGTGGGGTTTACCTGGCAGTGCAGACCTACTTTGTTTACGTGGTGAAAACATTTGTCGACGGGTTAAAAGGAAGCTTGATTTATTAGGTTTTGGACGCAATACTGGATGAAATGGTTAAAATGGACGGACTTGATTACTGGATGAAATGTTATAAATTTGTTTTTTACTTGCTATGTACTTCTATACTTCATATGCTAAATTTCTTCTGGGTGGTGGGATTTCTTTATTAAAGTTTGGGAAACACGTAATATATGTTAATTTCAAAAAATTTATGTATACTTTGAATTGGTATTGGAGGATATGTTCATTGAGAAAATATTGTTTTCAAACTTTTGAATAAATATTAATTATCTTTCAAACTTTTGAATAAACATTCATGCAGTTATATTTCATCTGACAAAGCACGATCGACAAACTAAAAAAACATGTTAAAATCGTCATCTTCTTGACCTAGGGTCGAAGGGCACCGCTCATCCTGTCGGACAGTCCGCAGTAAACGAAGGGTCAAAAATTACATGTTGCACCTCGAACGTATAAACAGGCAAGAGCAAGGTCACAATGTCGTTAAGCATAAGCATACACTATTCGGGTTACGATCTGCATTTAAACACTTATTAAAATACATTTAAAATACGATTTATTCATGTCATAAAGCTGGATGCTGGTTACATGGACTCAATAAAAACTTGATGTTTCTAACTTGTTTTTTCTCGTTTATTAGCTCGCAAAAAATTAAAAGTTACAAAAGAGTAGAACGGAAATTGGGTGGAGTGTGTATAGCGTAGGAGTAAAATTTTTGAGTAATTTGTGCCACATTCTGTATACAAAATTTAGAAAACAGTTGGGAAAGTTCGTTTGTGTCCTTTATTCACTCAACAAAATTCAAAATCTATATTTTTTAATAATTTAAAAACAGCACTTTATTAAATTTAAGGGGGTGTAACATCGGGTACGGCAGGTATCCGATGAACCTTTTCTTTCAGGTTTGTACCCTCCCGTATCATTGAGAAACCGTAAATACCTTGGTCGGGTAGCTGCAGTACGCCGTATTTCGTCCGGATTTTTAAAATCCTCAAAAATTTGGATTTACAGTACTTAAGAATGAGTTTCTGATGAAAATGTAAAAAGTTCTGTAGCACACCCCCTGGGGCCCCCAGGCTGGGGGTCACAGGGGTTGTGGTCGGTAACAATTTCTTGGATGCCATTATTTAGTTCCCCTGAACCGAAATATGTATATCTTGTGGGGATTACACCCACTTGTGGGAATTTTGCAACACTGTCAGGACTAATAATACATTGTGGGGTGGAGTGATACAACCTGTAGTATCAAGTATCATACACCTGGCAGGTGCAGGTTTCACCTGCTGACCTGCCTGCTTCCGAGGCAGGTGTCACCTGCTTCGGGTCTATTTAGAACAAGTTTAAACAAAATTTGATGTTCAGCGTTCGCGTCCCCAACGCAGATTTCTGGCGTCCCAGAAGAGAGCAAGGCAATAAAAGGATTTCGCAAAGCGTCCATTTTATCACTCTGACTCCAGCCAAGCTAGAAGAAGGAAGTTCTCACTCTGCTCTTTGCACTTTCATCGCCAAAATCATCCTAGTTTTTTCTCTGGTTAAAACCGCAAGAATAATTTAAAATTCGGAGAAAATGTCGAGAACTTGTTGTTTCGGATGCTGCACGGTGGGGCAGGGAACGCTCATCATTGGAATTCTTCATATCGTAAGTATTTCTATTTATTCAATTATTGCCACTCGCTGGTGGAAAAAAACTTTCTGTTCTCGACCTAAATTTGCCAATAAATTCCCGTCACAAATTTTTCCGACTTTGTCACCTTTTTGTGTATTTTTTCTTCACCCTTCGTATTTTTTGACCGATCTGGCTTCCCCCGTCGTAATTTTTTCGCAGTTATTTACGGAAAGAGAAAAAATTGGGGCCGGTTACGATGGCCCGAAAATTTTCCAGCATCCTTGATACAAAGTTTTTTTCTATCAGCGTTCCAACGCAAAAGGAGAATTATTATCACACTAACAATAAGTAATAAAATTTCTCCCGTGTAGCGATAATTGTCACACATAAAAATGTGAAATTTGTACTCTTGACTGGATTTTAAACAGATTTAAATTATTTCAGATCGGGGCCATTTTCTCCTTGATTATGAATTCCATAGACGTCAATTGGATGATCAACTATTCCGACGAAATCCCTGACTTCGAGGACCCTGACATCGAGGACCGAATCCCTGACATCGAGGACCCTGACTTTCAACAAGATCGTAAGCATATTTAATGTGTCGCGTTTTACAATTCATTCCTTTCCCACAGAATATAGATTCTACCAGAAAAATCGATCTTATGTATTCGAGTGACGCTTATGGAAGAACGGGGAGAGCCAACCAAATAACTCGGTGTACATTTGGCCCACCTGGGGGATGGCACCTCCGCATCATCATCATCACCACATCTCCTGGCATCAAAAAATGATGATGAAAGCACATAGGTGGCGGTGGCACCCCCATTTGTGCACCAATTTTGGACTCTTTGATCTATTTGGTAAAGTAAGGGGAAAATAATTTACTTACCAATTTCTGTACTATACAAAAATGCAGTCACAAATGTGATTCTGTAAAGTTTGGTAGCAGGTTGTTGTCACTTGTATGTAGTGTTATTTCAAACAAAATTTCCATAATTACTAGAACGACAGTTATGTACAAATGTGAGTACAAAAACACTGCCCGGTAACAGATTGATACCACATTATGCAATATGTGAGGCAAAATTCTTGACTACATGGATTTAAATTTTGTTCTACTGTTAAGCAATTACTGTTAAGCAGTCTCAATTCTCTGGAAAATATTGAAAGGGTATTTGGCTGCTAATTGTTAATATAAAATTATCTGCCAGGAAACCTTTCATATTTTTTGCGTCTATTAATATTAAGTCCATTCATATTCGAAAGTGCAAAGTTTTGCCAGAAGATTGAAAGAACAGTGTTAAGTTCATTTCATTACGAGTTTCCCAGAAGCAGAACTGTTATTTATCACGTGACAAAAAAATCTTTCAGGTTCACTCGAAATCAGGAACTCATTCGGTACCAAAGGCTTCAAATTTTGACCAGTGTGTTCAACGACGTTCATCAGAAAGGTATCCTCCCCGCCACGCAGCTCACCAATATTTGGACTTCGGCCATGTCACTGTTGGTTATCACGACGCGTTACCGCTCCCACTCGTACTTTTCATGCTACTTTGTGCCGTAGAATCGACCGTAATTGTACAATTCTGGGTTTTTGGACTTATCGGAAGTGTTCATCAGACGTCGTCGGATTTGTTGAGAGGCTGGAACGCTGATAGAAAAATCAGAGGAAATTCTGTGATGAAGAGACGCGTAAAATCTCTGTATCCCTTGAAGATTATGTTTGGTTCTTGCAATTTTATGGAGAAAAGCACCTCTCTGACTACGATTGATTTTAGCATGGATAAAACCGTTAGTTTGCTGATAGGATCGAGACAAATTTCGGTGTAATAAATAGATACGTAAGTCAATTTATCATATATTTTAATTGACACTATTATTATTAATACATCGTTTTGTACATACATATGTTTCCTTAAATTTTGAAGTTGAGGAGAAGGCGAGAGTTTCGCTAATTGGGAAACACAAATTACCTTAATTAAAACAATAAAATTTGTGTTGGGCAAACGTCGAACGCCCAACAAATAATTAGTTAATTGAATAGTTAATTTTATTACATGATTCATCTATTTACATATTGTCTCCAATGTACATATGTACTTTACTATATCTGACTCACATTTCACATTACATACACACATACATATTTCACTTCAGTTCTATCTACTAAATATACCATAATAAACTGTGATAGTAAAACATAAACTTTATTATTAAGTTCCCCACTGGAAACAAGAAATTTACGATGGAACCACCAATTCATCCCGAAGAACTGCTCCTCACTTGGGCAAAGTGGCCCATCCTTGGCGTCCAGTTTAACGGATATCTTTCACTCTCCGTAACCCAAAACAAATTTACAAAAGATACACAATCTCAACCGAAAAATTACCGCAAATCTTTACAATTTCACTTCGTCAGCATTCCATTTATATTTCATGTATTATTTATAACAATATTCTCAGTTCTTATCATCTGCTTCGGCAACAAGGGTTACAACGCGTTCAAACGGTTAGAGGAGCTCTCATCCGACGCCACAATCCTTGCCGGTTACACTCTTTGTGGATTCATATATACGATAGGAAATCGAACCTGGAGTTTATTCAGTGTTAAGAAAAGCCTCGTCTTTTGGGCTTATCAAGTGGATAAGATTAGTCTTATCACGCCTAATTTGTGGGACCCTGAATCTGTGCGGGATTTACGAAAAGAAATTCGTACATCATTTCTCCGTACCGTTTTCTTCATCAGTATCGTCATGATCTCACTATTTTTGGGTGATTTAATTTTAGTGGATTTTTTGAAAATCTCGAAATATAGCGTTATTGCGGATTCCTTCATGGGTCAGAGCGGTCCCGTTGTAATTGCTGGATTATTTTGGACATATTGCTATTTTTCTAATGCATTTTTGTCCGTCTGGTTAAGTTTCTTTGTTAAAATATATGCCGCTGCAGTGTCATCAATTCGGGCTGAGGTGAAACTCGGGAAAATTACTGGGACAAAAATAGCCAGAATTTCGAAAGCTTATAGCATTTTAATTAAGCTGGTGAATCACTTTAATGCTAAAATGGGGAGAAGGATATTTTTAGAGGTGGGATTTAACCTAATTTTCATCTTGGGTAGCACCTACTTTGTCATTGTTTCTGTGAAAGTGGGCGAAATTGGAAATATGCTGACGAACCTGACTAGTGCCGTGTTATCGATGCATGTCCTGTACATTTACGGTAATGATGGAGAAAAGCTGGAGGCCGCGAGGGTACAATTGGTAACTTTGTTGTGTGAATTGGAAGGAAATTGGGAGATGGGAGTGGCAGATAAGGTGTTTACAATTAGAAAAATAAGGTAATAAGATAAGGTCAAGTTGTTCTTTGGTTTTAGCAGATTCGGGATTTTCAAATGAAGGTGAAAACGTGCAAGCTACGGATAACACCTGAAAATTATTTTAAGCTTGATAGAAGTTTCATTTTGTCGGTGGGTGGATAGATGATAATAATTTAATTTATTTGGTTGTGCTGTTGACTGAATTGGTTTATTATTTTAGGTTTTGCCGATTTTGATGACGCTATTAATTGTGTTGGCCCAATTCAGAGATTCTGACGAGAAGGGTGGGACACGTTAAGGGGGAGGATAACTGAATTATCAATTAAATAATGGAATTAACGAAGAGTGGGGTAACTCAATACCAATAACGTGAATAATTTCATGCATGCCAAAAATGCCTACTTTGAATCTCGACTAGACACGCTTTGACTACTAATCTCACTCTGCCCCACACTGGTATTTGCGTCCATTGTTGTACATACGTATGTATTTATGTTTATTACTATTTATAAAACTCGTTGGTACATACTTCTTGGAAAGTGCCCTTCACTAAAAATCTATTATAAGGATCAACCCTTCACTTCTGGTATGTTCGACATAACGTGAACCTGAATCATATCCACGTTGCCTTTTCATCCACATCTAATCACCATCACAGAATATAGATTCTACCAGAAGAATCGATCTTATGTATTCGAGTGACGCTTATGGAAGAACGGGGAGAGCCAACCAAATAACTCGGTGTACATTTGGCCCACCTGGGGGATGGCACCTCCGCATCATCATCATCACCACATCTCCTGGCATCAAAAAATGATGATGAAAGCACATAGGTGGCGGTGGCACCCCCATTTGTGCACCGGAACACACCATTCTGAGCTGCGTCTCCACAAATTTGGTGCTCTACGAGGGTGTGTTCCGGTGCACAAATGGGGGTGCCACCGCCACCTATGTGCTTTCATCATCATTTTTTGATGCCAGGAGATGTGGTGATGATGATGATGCGGAGGTGCCATCCCCCAGGTGGGCCAAATGTACACCGAGTTATTTGGTTGGCTCTCCCCGTTCTTCCATAAGCGTCACTCGAATACATAAGATCGATTCTTCTGGTAGAATCTATATTCTGTGAATCACCATTACATTTTCAAAAAATATATTTTTTCTGCCTTCGTCCTGAGTGAAATTATGAAAATCAATTAAAGATTATTAACGTATTACTGTGTAACAAGGGAAAATAACAATCTTGATAATTTTTAGTGATTCGTACACACAAAACAGCAGAAAATTTTCGAATTTCGTGACAAATTATGTACCATTGTTAGACTTTGACCCTGCCTGCGTTTAGATTTTATAATGTGCCGTGTTTTAAAATATTTACGAAATATACACTAGATTTTATACACTCGGTTTGTAAAAGAAAGAAAAAAACGTTTAAAAAATATGGGTGGAAGTGGAAGCTACTGCTGCAATTTATGTGGGGACATGGCTCCAACAAAACTTGCGATTTTAGCCCACCTTGCCCAATGGCATAAGGGAAAGCGAGAGAGGTGAGTATTAATAATTTGCAGAAAATTCTTATGAAGTTACAAAAGAACTTGAGGATAAATTTTATAATTGGATTTTTTAAAGAACGCAAGAGAAAAAATGGAGAAAATCTGAGGGCAAATCTAAGGGTAAGAGAAGTGACGCCAAGGCCGATAAGGAAGCCAAGGCCGATAAGGACGCCAGGGCCGATAAGGACGCCAAGGCCAATAAGGACGCCCCCACGACAACTGGGAAAATTCGCGAAAATAAAAGTAAGGATAGTGGGTTTAGAAAGACTGGTACCTCGACCGATAAACCCGTAGATGACAATGCCGTCGCTAATGACGAAACTCCTAAACTGAAGTTTTCGACCTATGGACGAACCTCTTATGGGACGAGGGCAAGGTCGAGAATGGTTAGTGAAATATTTACCGTAAATTAAAGTTTGTAAGACAGTGAGGGTATTCATTACGACTTCGCGCATCTTTTATTTAATCATATACAACTTTTCATGTGCAATTCGAATTTAGGGTGATGGAGAGTCCTCGTCCGTGAACAAATCTTCAGAAGTGATCGACGAATCGACCAGCGTTGCAAAGAAGCACAAATTGCCACCCAACGAAGTACATGAGGGGGTTGGAAAGACGAGGAAATTGACGGACGAGGAAAACATTCTAGTTAAGAAAGTCGTGGATAAAATCACGAATGTGTTTCTCACTAATGGCAAAAGTTTCACCAAGAAGCATAATGTAAATGTCCTTCCTACTCAAGTTTTGGCCAAGAAAAAACCTCCTTTAGAAGGAAAGGGGTTTGAATCTCGAATCCTAAATCAAGCCGACAAACCAATCAAAATAAGTAATAAACCCGTCGTTTTCAATCGGGATACCAAAATTGACCCCGTAACACACGCTACGCCAGAAATTAGCTCGACACTGCCAACAAAGAAAAATGAAATGCTTAAACCCATAAAAACTGCACCCCAACAAAATCGTCAAAAATTGGAGGATGAAATTCCAGTCTTCGATATAACAGATGATGACGAAGTTGAGGATATTAATGCCGATAAGCAAATGAATAATGAGGAACACGATAATCGGTAGGATAACTTGGAATATTAATTGCATTGGTTAATACAGTTCGTTTTTTTTATCGTGTTACTTTTTTTTGTAGACCAGACTCACCGGTCTATCTATTCCCCAGGGTGAAGAGCACAAAATCATTATCGTTAACTCAAGAGGAACAGGTCAAAAAGATGCCACAATTAGCACCAGCAACGCCTCCAATTTTGACGTACGTAGATTTATCAGATTTATGTATGATTTTTGTGCAAAAATCACCGGAGCATATATTAATGTTGAATGCTTTAACCCATAGGAAGGAACCTCACCAACCTGGCGCAGGTAACACGGGAGAAAACGTTAGAAAACAACGTCCCAAGGTAAGAAATAGTCAACCATTGATCCTAATTTCGGTAATTCTGGTCACTATTCGTATGATAACATTCAATTTTTTCCACTCATGACAGGCACGTATCTCTCCGAACACTCTTCAATGCCCCCTCTGCCCCACAAAGTGTAACACAGGATTTATCCTGCACCGTCACCTTGCTCAAAATCATGCTGGCGAGATTCAATGTAAACGCAAGGAGCTGAATAAAACGACGAAGATTGGTCACCCGTCGAAGACCCGGGCGCCTGTCAAACTACCCACAGTCGTTGACCAAGTAGGATCAATTGGTCAAAAACGGGGACACGATCTCACGCCAACATCACCGCCCAGAGAATCGCCAGCACAACTACCAGCAACGTCGCCAGGAAATAATTTAGAGAAGCCAGTTGACTCCACAACGATCGAAGCTGAATTGGAGGAGCTGCTTTCCTCTCCTGTTAAAACTCACGGCAATCTCGACAATATTAAAAAAGTTGAAGTCGACACCCCCAAAAAAACCAACGGTGTCGAACTCACCCCCACCAACGTCCACTCTTTAACTCCTCCTTCTCCTCCCTCCACCGTTAAAGTCCCTACGCCCCAACCATCTCCAACCGACAGCGTAAAGACCATCTCCATCTCCATCTTATCGTCCCCTTCCTTCAAATGTGACGAGTGTGGGACGCCCTTCCACACGGCGAATGGTCTTTCGGTGCACGCCAGTCTTAATCACGCCGTAGAAAATGTGCCAGTTCCACCTAAAGAGTTGGAATCATCCGCAATATCTTTGACTGATGATTTCTTGCTTTGCAGTGTAAGAAATGTAGCAAACCCGTAAAACCGAAACCGTAGTGACAATAACTTTGTTGTCTTTTGCAAGGGTACGCTTTTGCTGGAAGGGGTCGCGGAATAGTGCGTGTCGAACTGTCCTTTGACAATGGGGATAATTGGCAAGTGGTAAAATTAACTAGACAGGACAGCAACTATTCCTGGACGCAGTGGGAGATAGAGGTCAATGTTACTAGCGCTATGGATGTCTGGGTCAAAGCAGTGGACACCGGGTACAATCAACAACCCGAGGACTTGAAACATATCTGGAACTATCGTGGTCTTGTGGTCAATGCGTATCACAAAATCAAACTTAATATCTAATTTGCTTAACGGTAATGTTTTGTGCCTTCAAAAATTTGTTAGATTCGAAATTAAATACATATGTTTAATATAATTTAATTTAATTTAATATAATTGTCAACAAATTATTATGAATAACATTATACACGACGGAATACTTTAATACCTTCAAATTAAGTACACATTGTTATAAAAGGTGTGAACGTAAATTAGTATCATAATAGCTGAAAAGTTCTTAATTTAAACAACGTAGTTTATTTAATTGATTACAAATATTAAGCGTTGAAAAATAATAAAATGTGTAACAAAAATTGAACATTAAAATGTTTAACAAAAATTGAAAATATGGTACAAAAATTTCAAAATATGCATAACTATTTAATAGCTTTACGACGGATCCGACCCCGATCCTTCACCCCCCGGAGGAACGGGAGGAACTCTTTCATACGCACATTCACCAATTTCGCCCTTATCCAAACCAAATTTGGCCGAAGCCGTGTCAACCCTTAATTTCAATCCTGGAATTTTATTCATAATCCACAAAATTGCGTAGGTCACGATAAACGACCAAACTCCTCCTGCAACACAGTGGCCAATCTGAACCGGCACTTGCATCCAGTTCCCATCAATCCAACCACCCTCGATGCACGTAATTCCGTCCCAAGCAGCCATCCCCCTTTCCGCAAATATTCCTGTAAGCAGGGTGCCTATGAGGCCACCCACACCGTGAACGGTGACCACGTCGAGTGCGTCGTCAAGTCGGATGGCGTGCTTCAACCCGGACGCCCAGCGGCATGCTATGGCGCCAATGATACCAAATACCGGGGCTGAGGCGGGACGGATAAATCCGGAAGCGGGAGTTACGGAGACAAGACCTGAAATTGTTGCCATCGTTCTGAATTTTTCTCAATTTCCGAAACACTTTAGCTTAAGCATGAATTTCGAAATTTAGGCTTAAAATTTGTGCTTTATGCTCTGAAAAGAATTCAAAAGTTTGTCATATTTCGATACCTGCCACCGCCCCGAAGCAGAAGCTCAACGCAGAAAACGATTTATTCTTCCTGTAATCCACCAATGCCCACGTGATCCCACCGAACGATGCTGATAAATTCGTGACCAGAAGGACCATCGCCGCCCTCGCGTTCGCACCCATGGCGTTACCTGAATTAAACCTGGCAACAAACAGTCAGTTTTCGACTTTTAGTGAATTAGCAAAAAGCATAATTTTGATTGTGTATGTATGTATTTGAGAAATAAAAGAAATAAAATTCTCAAAATTATTTAATAGGGAAGAAAGATAGAAAAAATAATTATGCTTACCCAAACCAGCCAAACCACATGAGTGAAGTGCCCAGAACGACTTGGACCAAATTGTGAGGCTGCGAATATACACAAATTCAATACAAACTTCGGTTAAATTAAACCAATTTACATATAACACTACGAATACCTTGTAATTGAGAACGTGTCTGCCCTCTCGCTCCCCGAGCTGCATCGCATAAGCAATCGCTGAAAATAAAAAAGTGTACATATTTATACCATCCAGCATTTCAAACATAATACAATTTATATTTACCAGCAGCGCCCGACGCGACGTGAACTGCAATTTAGCATAATTTTTAATCCTTCAACTTACTTACTAATTTACATAATGACCACAAATTTTATGCACAGTTGCCCACCTGGCGTGCCCCCAGCAAAATCCAACGCTCCCAATTTATTCGCCCACCCCGCCTGCCCCCAGGTCCAATACGCGACAAGGTCGTACACCAAGGTACTCCAGATAAACATGAACACGACCTGTGCAGTAAGCTACACTCTGACAATCATCTCTTCCATAAGCAACTAAGTCTTAATCAGCTATTTATTTACTCAGGTAATTACCGTTGGAAGAAAGCGACCCCTCTCCGCGACTGCCCCCACGACCAGGGCAGGCGTTATTCCGGCCACCATGGAGTGATAAATGCAAAAAAGCACTTCCGGGACGACCCTGTTACCACCACCGTCGTCGTAGTTGGGGCCATCCAGTCCGTAGAGGAGGACACGATCCACGCCACCGATAAAGGGGCACTTGCTCCCATCACTTAATGCTAACGAGTAGCCGAATAGGAACCACTGCGATTGATAAATTTCAAGCTCATATATAGGTCATTGAGAAAATTGTAAAATCCGTAAATTCCGTAAATTTATATACTTTTGCAAATTTCCCAACTATTTCGAAGGAAAATTTGCTTGCAAATTTGTATAAACTTACTCCGATCAAGGGCGTCTTTTTATTTTGGAAAATTTTGTAAAAGTATTTTTATAACTTACGCATTTTAAAAGTTACCAAAAATTGGCAAACGCACCTGAATCGAGACCACAGCAATGGACCAACAGCACAAAATGATTAATGATAGTGCACTCCGTGACCGTGCCAGGCCAGAGTAGAAAAACCCGATCCCAGGGACCTTTTGGAATATGTAAAATGTCTCAATTTTTGAAGTTGTCATAATTTCGAACTAAATTTATGTATATATGTAAAAATATATACCATGAGCCAAACTAGCGTTGTGCATGATAAGGTCCAGGCTATGTCCCCCGAATCGTAGACCTGACCTTTACCACTATTTTCACTGAAATTGTTTGTACTATTCATGCTTCCAGCTATATAAATTCCTACATTTATTACGCGGAGGTAATTTTTAGTACTGGCTCAAGCACAAACCAGAAACTGATTAATCCATGCCTCCAAAGTAATAAATATGTAGATACAACGGGCCAACTTTTATCAAAAATAATAAATATTGAGATACAACTGACCAACTATTATTCGATAAGTTTGAAAACTAATAATAATTGAGCCGCAAACCCATTATGAGGATTAGTTTAGCACGAAAGTTGGTTTATGATTTGTTACGCATGCAATTTAATCTCGTCATGATTGATAAACTTTTTTCCTGGTAAACAATCCTCATTTCGCGATTGGATTGCACTACACATTACTCATTGTTTGCAGAAGTTGAAGTTGAAACTGGACATCAAATGTTTTCACTAGGAGTCATTGACATTGACTTAAAAATAATATGCGTATGTGTTTTGCTCATGTTACTAAATGAGGATGTTCATTGTTCATGGTTCATATAATAAAAAGTCAAATAACAAATATAAATATATATACCAAATATATATATATACAAATATATATACCACATCAACAAGGAAGGATATGTCTATCTATTTAAACTAGGTAAAATATGAACTACAGTAGAGATAACAAAGTACCGGAAGTGAAATCTATATCGCAAAACGTAAGGACAAATTGAATTCGTGTGTGAAAAAGTGTAACAAAAATGATCTACGCAGTGTAGAAGAATTACATAGATACTATCTCATGTATTTTTTTATAAGCTTGAGTACGTTCCGTGTTGATGTCTTGTATCAAGTTTACTGCAATTTATTCTACAACGTTAGCAACAATTTGGATCACTCATTTACGCTTCTAAATGAAGTAATTACTTTGACCCCAGCGACATACGTACGTCCTGCTCATGTCATATATAATAGCTACATACAAGGAAATTGAAATATATATGTACAACCCGTTTTAATGTCACGGCTAGAAATAAATATCACTTATAACAAAGGAATTGTAAATTATTCGTAGTTTTGGCAAACGCGTTTTGCACATGTAGATATGTATGTACCTAGGTATTTATCTATTTATTGCTGTATGCGCTGCATATGTACTTTTCCTGTTGTCATTTGAACAAATGGTATGCTTTCTTTAGCATACTTCACTTAGGATTAGTGGACATCTGGGGTTTATAAAATTATGTAAAACCTTTCCATTCGGCTGTAATTTTCCATAGAGCAATTTCGAAATGATAAACTTACCACACAAATATCGAATTTAAATATGTCACTGTAATCGTCCTAGCCGGTATTTTATGTAAGACATAGTTCATCACATTCTCAGCGACCTCAAATTAATGTACATATTTAAGAACACATTTGATACATGTTTCAGCGTCGTCCTTACGTAAAGATCAATGTCAAAAGTATCTTACAATACACAATTTACATAACTTTATATTTTAGTAAGAACAATTTGCTTTAATAAATTCATTCCAATCTTACCGTTCTTATTGATAGGGTTACCACAATAAATCACATATATGCAAATTGCAATGATTATCTCAAAGTGGGTACACTTTATAAAGCTGCACATAAAAATCAGCTCAACTTGCTGCTCCATTCCGTTTTATTGGGATGGGAAGCAGCAGAAAATTACAACACTGCGAGAATCTTCTCGAGTGAAATTTTTCGTGTATATGTTTGGTTTGACGATATGCTTTTGGCGAATGGTTTTCATGAACGGGTTATTTTACAGGTGTATTTTGTCCCCCAATGTCTCACCCGTGGGACATGCGACCTGCATCTTCTTTGCCAACGGGGCTGCCCTGCTGAATCTTTTCAATGTGTATAATTTTACAAAGAGGGGCGTAATTGTGGACATGTTGCAACTTTATATCGACTATGGAGAAGATGAAGGTGAGAAAATTAATCACTTCTTTTTTTGCAGGCTGTGGGGATACAAAATTTTGGAAAATTTCTTAAAAAGCTGGAAACGTGTCATGTGTTGAAATGGCACTAGTTTTGATAAACGCTTTACACACGTTTTTTATCAGGTTCTTCAATTTACAAAAAGGATGTATTGGCCGACCTTGTAATGAAGACGGGATGTTATAGCGCAATAATTTTGCCGCTTTGCTTAACAATTTTTGGAGCTACCATGCCGTGTGAGGCACCCTTTGTTGGAGCTGTATTAATTGACTGCAGTGTTCCAGATGGGTCTCATTTTCTGGCGAAATCTATTCTGACCTTGTTCGAGTTTTGGATGAATATGTTCGAATTGACGAATGCCTTTTGGTCCGTTTTCATCGTTCTATTTCCCGGGATTCGGTTTATTTTGGACTCTTTGATCTATTTGGTAAAGTAAGGGGAAAATAATTTACTTACCAATTTCTGTACTATACAAAAATGCAGTCACAAATGTGATTCTGTAAAGTTTGGTAGCAGGTTGTTGTCACTTGTATGTAGTGTTATTTCAAACAAAATTTCCATAATTACTAGAACGACAGTTATGTACAAATGTGAGTACAAAAACACTGCCCGGTAACAGATTGATACCACATTATGCAATATGTGAGGCAAAATTCTTGACTACATGGATTTAAATTTTGTTCTACTGTTAAGCAATTACTGTTAAGCAGTCTCAATTCTCTGGAAAATATTGAAAGGGTATTTGGCTGCTAATTGTTAATATAAAATTATCTGCCAGGAAACCTTTCATATTTTTTGCGTCTATTAATATTAAGTCCATTCATATTCGAAAGTGCAAAGTTTTGCCAGAAGATTGAAAGAACAGTGTTAAGTTCATTTCATTACGAGTTTCCCAGAAGCAGAACTGTTATTTATCACGTGACAAAAAAATCTTTCAGGTTCACTCGAAATCAGGAACTCATTCGGTACCAAAGGCTTCAAATTTTGACCAGTGTGTTCAACGACGTTCATCAGAAAGGTATCCTCCCCGCCACGCAGCTCACCAATATTTGGACTTCGGCCATGTCACTGTTGGTTATCACGACGCGTTACCGCTCCCACTCGTACTTTTCATGCTACTTTGTGCCGTAGAATCGACCGTAATTGTACAATTCTGGGTTTTTGGACTTATCGGAAGTGTTCATCAGACGTCGTCGGATTTGTTGAGAGGCTGGAACGCTGATAGAAAAATCAGAGGAAATTCTGTGATGAAGAGACGCGTAAAATCTCTGTATCCCTTGAAGATTATGTTTGGTTCTTGCAATTTTATGGAGAAAAGCACCTCTCTGACTACGATTGATTTTAGCATGGATAAAACCGTTAGTTTGCTGATAGGATCGAGACAAATTTCGGTGTAATAAATAGATACGTAAGTCAATTTATCATATATTTTAATTGACACTATTATTATTAATACATCGTTTTGTACATACATATGTTTCCTTAAATTTTGAAGTTGAGGAGAAGGCGAGAGTTTCGCTAATTGGGAAACACAAATTACCTTAATTAAAACAATAAAATTTGTGTTGGGCAAACGTCGAACGCCCAACAAATAATTAGTTAATTGAATAGTTAATTTTATTACATGATTCATCTATTTACATATTGTCTCCAATGTACATATGTACTTTACTATATCTGACTCACATTTCACATTACATACACACATACATATTTCACTTCAGTTCTATCTACTAAATATACCATAATAAACTGTGATAGTAAAACATAAACTTTATTATTAAGTTCCCCACTGGAAACAAGAAATTTACGATGGAACCACCAATTCATCCCGAAGAACTGCTCCTCACTTGGGCAAAGTGGCCCATCCTTGGCGTCCAGTTTAACGGATATCTTTCACTCTCCGTAACCCAAAACAAATTTACAAAAGATACACAATCTCAACCGAAAAATTACCGCAAATCTTTACAATTTCACTTCGTCAGCATTCCATTTATATTTCATGTATTATTTATAACAATATTCTCAGTTCTTATCATCTGCTTCGGCAACAAGGGTTACAACGCGTTCAAACGGTTAGAGGAGCTCTCATCCGACGCCACAATCCTTGCCGGTTACACTCTTTGTGGATTCATATATACGATAGGAAATCGAACCTGGAGTTTATTCAGTGTTAAGAAAAGCCTCGTCTTTTGGGCTTATCAAGTGGATAAGATTAGTCTTATCACGCCTAATTTGTGGGACCCTGAATCTGTGCGGGATTTACGAAAAGAAATTCGTACATCATTTCTCCGTACCGTTTTCTTCATCAGTATCGTCATGATCTCACTATTTTTGGGTGATTTAATTTTAGTGGATTTTTTGAAAATCTCGAAATATAGCGTTATTGCGGATTCCTTCATGGGTCAGAGCGGTCCCGTTGTAATTGCTGGATTATTTTGGACATATTGCTATTTTTCTAATGCATTTTTGTCCGTCTGGTTAAGTTTCTTTGTTAAAATATATGCCGCTGCAGTGTCATCAATTCGGGCTGAGGTGAAACTCGGGAAAATTACTGGGACAAAAATAGCCAGAATTTCGAAAGCTTATAGCATTTTAATTAAGCTGGTGAATCACTTTAATGCTAAAATGGGGAGAAGGATATTTTTAGAGGTGGGATTTAACCTAATTTTCATCTTGGGTAGCACCTACTTTGTCATTGTTTCTGTGAAAGTGGGCGAAATTGGAAATATGCTGACGAACCTGACTAGTGCCGTGTTATCGATGCATGTCCTGTACATTTACGGTAATGATGGAGAAAAGCTGGAGGCCGCGAGGGTACAATTGGTAACTTTGTTGTGTGAATTGGAAGGAAATTGGGAGATGGGAGTGGCAGATAAGGTGTTTACAATTAGAAAAATAAGGTAATAAGATAAGGTCAAGTTGTTCTTTGGTTTTAGCAGATTCGGGATTTTCAAATGAAGGTGAAAACGTGCAAGCTACGGATAACACCTGAAAATTATTTTAAGCTTGATAGAAGTTTCATTTTGTCGGTGGGTGGATAGATGATAATAATTTAATTTATTTGGTTGTGCTGTTGACTGAATTGGTTTATTATTTTAGGTTTTGCCGATTTTGATGACGCTATTAATTGTGTTGGCCCAATTCAGAGATTCTGACGAGAAGGGTGGGACACGTTAAGGGGAGGATAACTGAATTATCAATTAAATAATGGAATTAACGAAGAGTGGGGTAACTCAATACCAATAACGTGAATAATTTCATGCATGCCAAAAATGCCTACTTTGAATCTCGACTAGACACGCTTTGACTACTAATCTCACTCTGCCCCACACTGGTATTTGCGTCCATTGTTGTACATACGTATGTATTTATGTTTATTACTATTTATAAAACTCGTTGGTACATACTTCTTGGAAAGTGCCCTTCACTAAAAATCTATTATAAGGATCAACCCTTCACTTCTGGTATGTTCGACATAACGTGAACCTGAATCATATCCACGTTGCCTTTTCATCCACATCTAATCACCATCACAGAATATAGATTCTACCAGAAGAATCGATCTTATGTATTCGAGTGACGCTTATGGAAGAACGGGGAGAGCCAACCAAATAACTCGGTGTACATTTGGCCCACCTGGGGGATGGCACCTCCGCATCATCATCATCACCACATCTCCTGGCATCAAAAAATGATGATGAAAGCACATAGGTGGCGGTGGCACCCCCATTTGTGCACCGGAACACACCATTCTGAGCTGCGTCTCCACAAATTTGGTGCTCTACGAGGGTGTGTTCCGGTGCACAAATGGGGGTGCCACCGCCACCTATGTGCTTTCATCATCATTTTTTGATGCCAGGAGATGTGGTGATGATGATGATGCGGAGGTGCCATCCCCCAGGTGGGCCAAATGTACACCGAGTTATTTGGTTGGCTCTCCCCGTTCTTCCATAAGCATCACTCGAATACATAAGATCGATTCTTCTGGTAGAATCTATATTCTGTGAATCACCATTACATTTTCAAAAAATATATTTTTTCTGCCTTCGTCCTGAGTGAAATTATGAAAATCAATTAAAGATTATTAACGTATTACTGTGTAACAAGGGAAAATAACAATCTTGATAATTTTTAGTGATTCGTACACACAAAACAGCAGAAAATTTTCGAATTTCGTGACAAATTATGTACCATTGTTAGACTTTGACCCTGCCTGCGTTTAGATTTTATAATGTGCCGTGTTTTAAAATATTTACGAAATATACACTAGATTTTATACACTCGGTTTGTAAAAGAAAGAAAAAAACGTTTAAAAAATATGGGTGGAAGTGGAAGCTACTGCTGCAATTTATGTGGGGACATGGCTCCAACAAAACTTGCGATTTTAGCCCACCTTGCCCAATGGCATAAGGGAAAGCGAGAGAGGTGAGTATTAATAATTTGCAGAAAATTCTTATGAAGTTACAAAAGAACTTGAGGATAAATTTTATAATTGGATTTTTTAAAGAACGCAAGAGAAAAAATGGAGAAAATCTGAGGGCAAATCTAAGGGTAAGAGAAGTGACGCCAAGGCCGATAAGGAAGCCAAGGCCGATAAGGACGCCAGGGCCGATAAGGACGCCAAGGCCAATAAGGACGCCCCCACGACAACTGGGAAAATTCGCGAAAATAAAAGTAAGGATAGTGGGTTTAGAAAGACTGGTACCTCGACCGATAAACCCGTAGATGACAATGCCGTCGCTAATGACGAAACTCCTAAACTGAAGTTTTCGACCTATGGACGAACCTCTTATGGGACGAGGGCAAGGTCGAGAATGGTTAGTGAAATATTTACCGTAAATTAAAGTTTGTAAGACAGTGAGGGTATTCATTACGACTTCGCGCATCTTTTATTTAATCATATACAACTTTTCATGTGCAATTCGAATTTAGGGTGATGGAGAGTCCTCGTCCGTGAACAAATCTTCAGAAGTGATCGACGAATCGACCAGCGTTGCAAAGAAGCACAAATTGCCACCCAACGAAGTACATGAGGGGGTTGGAAAGACGAGGAAATTGACGGACGAGGAAAACATTCTAGTTAAGAAAGTCGTGGATAAAATCACGAATGTGTTTCTCACTAATGGCAAAAGTTTCACCAAGAAGCATAATGTAAATGTCCTTCCTACTCAAGTTTTGGCCAAGAAAAAACCTCCTTTAGAAGGAAAGGGGTTTGAATCTCGAATCCTAAATCAAGCCGACAAACCAATCAAAATAAGTAATAAACCCGTCGTTTTCAATCGGGATACCAAAATTGACCCCGTAACACACGCTACGCCAGAAATTAGCTCGACACTGCCAACAAAGAAAAATGAAATGCTTAAACCCATAAAAACTGCACCCCAACAAAATCGTCAAAAATTGGAGGATGAAATTCCAGTCTTCGATATAACAGATGATGACGAAGTTGAGGATATTAATGCCGATAAGCAAATGAATAATGAGGAACACGATAATCGGTAGGATAACTTGGAATATTAATTGCATTGGTTAATACAGTTCGTTTTTTTTATCGTGTTACTTTTTTTTGTAGACCAGACTCACCGGTCTATCTATTCCCCAGGGTGAAGAGCACAAAATCATTATCGTTAACTCAAGAGGAACAGGTCAAAAAGATGCCACAATTAGCACCAGCAACGCCTCCAATTTTGACGTACGTAGATTTATCAGATTTATGTATGATTTTTGTGCAAAAATCACCGGAGCATATATTAATGTTGAATGCTTTAACCCATAGGAAGGAACCTCACCAACCTGGCGCAGGTAACACGGGAGAAAACGTTAGAAAACAACGTCCCAAGGTAAGAAATAGTCAACCATTGATCCTAATTTCGGTAATTCTGGTCACTATTCGTATGATAACATTCAATTTTTTCCACTCATGACAGGCACGTATCTCTCCGAACACTCTTCAATGCCCCCTCTGCCCCACAAAGTGTAACACAGGATTTATCCTGCACCGTCACCTTGCTCAAAATCATGCTGGCGAGATTCAATGTAAACGCAAGGAGCTGAATAAAACGACGAAGATTGGTCACCCGTCGAAGACCCGGGCGCCTGTCAAACTACCCACAGTCGTTGACCAAGTAGGATCAATTGGTCAAAAACGGGGACACGATCTCACGCCAACATCACCGCCCAGAGAATCGCCAGCACAACTACCAGCAACGTCGCCAGGAAATAATTTAGAGAAGCCAGTTGACTCCACAACGATCGAAGCTGAATTGGAGGAGCTGCTTTCCTCTCCTGTTAAAACTCACGGCAATCTCGACAATATTAAAAAAGTTGAAGTCGACACCCCCAAAAAAACCAACGGTGTCGAACTCACCCCCACCAACGTCCACTCTTTAACTCCTCCTTCTCCTCCCTCCACCGTTAAAGTCCCTACGCCCCAACCATCTCCAACCGACAGCGTAAAGACCATCTCCATCTCCATCTTATCGTCCCCTTCCTTCAAATGTGACGAGTGTGGGACGCCCTTCCACACGGCGAATGGTCTTTCGGTGCACGCCAGTCTTAATCACGCCGTAGAAAATGTGCCAGTTCCACCTAAAGAGTTGGAATCATCCGCAATATCTTTGACTGATGATGCAGAATCAATGTCAATAATGAATAGCAGTACCAGTACAGCAACTCCTGGTCGGGCCAAGTTGAAGATATCCATTCCGTTGTCCTTGTACCATTCCTGCTCCGCCTGCATTGAAGAGTTCGCGTTTTCTCACGAACTGACCAAACACGAGGCTGACCACGGTCTTGGATTTGCTTGTCTCGGATGTGGGGGCTCCTTCAAGTTTAAGACCAACTTAGACAAACATTTCCAAAAGTAAGGGGAAAAACCTTTCTATCAGTTTGTCATAAATTTATGTATTTATTTATTTAAGTGACCTGTCTTGTTCACTTAGGGCGCATCCCGAACTTTCCATGGGGAAATGTACTTGGGTCTTAGGTGACCATTGTGCAATTTGGAAGTCGTCCTCCGCGGAAATGAACGAACACGTGCGCCAAGTTCATCCACAAAAAGTAAATGCTTTCGAGGACAGAAAAGAAGACCTTGTGTGTGTGAAACAGGAGTTAAATAGCGAAGAAAGTTATTGGCCTGTTGTGGATTTGGAATAATTTTCATGTTCATGTAAAATGAGTATAGTTCGGAACTTTACATAATTGGATGGAATGAGATTAATGTACGTACGAAAATAATGTGGCTAAGTTTTTATGGCAAATAATAATCGTTCATTTCAAATACTATTTGTTTATGCATAGCCAGAACATAATGCTTACCTTGTCAGTTAAAAATAATTATTACTTAAGATTTCCTTAGATTACGAGTTAACCTGCTAATTATTCGTAAAAATTATGGCCAGTTTTGGTATTATTGCTGTTATCTTACCGTGTTAAGTTTAAAATTAGATTTTATATCATTTACTTAATTACTCATACGTATTTAGTTTACTCTCAGCTTGCACCGAGGAAGGTGCAATGTTGTCCCAAAATGAGCGGTAGGTCGATGCTTGTAAAAATTTGAAGTTAATAATAAGTTAATAATATTATGATTCCTGTACTAATTAAATACTGTCAAATTAAAATTTACCTTATTATTCAACTGTGTGAAATTAACTGCAAATGAAATAAATCTGTTTATAAACAAACAACATGATTGGAAGAAATCGTTCACAATACACATTCCTCGCCATCATTATCGTGATGATAATCTTGTTTATCGTCATCCCAAAGCTGTACATACAGATATCCACCATAAACGAGAATGACACCAGTACGAATTGGACCTATAATTTGGACAGATGACTAATACTAGACACATTTAAACGAAACTAAATAATAGCAATGTTAATTAATGGACAATGAAAGTACAACGTATGTACTTCAGGCTGCCACGAGTTAAATTGCTAAGCTATCATTTAGCTATAATTCCCTTAAATTTCATTATTATGTCCTTAACAAAAGATTATTACCTTATATATTTTCAGAAAATCGAGAGATACAGACCAGCCCACGTTTTACATCAAGACATGGGACTATTTCGTCACACCCAAATCATCCCACAAAAAAAGAATCCGCCGTCCAACCGTCCCCACCATCTGGACCCCCAGGCTCACCCCACCCGCGGTATTACTCCGTCTCCAAGGCGGCATAGGAAACCAACTTTTCCAATACGCGTGTCAATACACCCTCGCCAAGAAACATGACCTTCCCCTCTACATCAAACTAAGGGCCGGCCTTCGCACCCAGCTCATCAACCTTATCTCAGATAATCCTGACCTCAAATTTTCCACGGCTCTGCCATTCCGCCCTTTAAACGTGACTGACCGATCCGTCGCCCTCGCCGCCTTCCAGATCCCACTCTTCCCCTGGAACACAATCGACGAAACGTACACCATTCCACGTCACACCCGCATCAGAGACGCTGACCTGCTCTACGGCACCTACTCCACGAATGGAACCATCCTCTCCCTCTCGATCATCGATTACTGCCAATCAGAAGTCTACTTTGCCCAGTATCGCGACGAAATTCGGAAGATTTTCCAATTTTCAAGCTTCTTCAGGAGAAGACTCCTCTCACAAGAAGCGGTCACATGGGATAAGACGATTTCCAGGAAGGGCACCATTCCTGTTGGGGTTCACATCCGTCGTGGCGATTTTGTTAAGTTTAATGCTACAATTCCCATCTCCTATTATACCGCGGCGCTTGACGGACTGGTCAAAAAACTAAGGAACTTTGAAGACATCTCGTTATTCATATTTTCAGATGATTTAAAATATGTTACTGAAACATTTATTCCGATTTTGAAGGATTTCCCCAACTTTAATGCTTTCATTGTGTCCGATCCAACGAGTTTGACGAGTCTGGAGGAATTTTATCTGTTGACGAGGTGTAAACATTTTATAATTCCGAATAGTACTTTTTCCTGGTGGGCGGCTTATCTGGGGGGCGAGAAGAAGGATAAAGTTGTGTATGCTGCACATTTAAATGAGAATTATATCAAGTGGTTATACCCCAAGCGGGGGGATGGGCAGAATTTTTACGTTTGGCAGTATAAAAATATTTATTATCCGAGTGGGTGGAACGTTATTGAACCTAGGTGGGGGGCAGATGGATGACTAATTACACCACCTATAATTGTCTTAATGAATTATATAATGTGAGAGAGCATAAGCACTGTAAAAAGGACTTTTTCTAGAAACAGAATACTTCATGTTTGTTAAATCTTTGTATAAAATAATGCAAAAATTATAAATCGAAAAAATAAACTAAATACTTTATGCCAAAAGTGTTGAATTTAGTATTAAAAAGCGAACTAAAGAAATTTCTGTGGCATAAATTACTCAAAAATTTTACCCCTACGCTTAACGATTCCACTCTTTATATTTTCTCTCGAGCTAATATCGGTAAATGAGAAAAAATAAGTAGGAAACATTAAGTTGTTATCAATTACATGCAACATCTTCGCCGACCTCTTGCCCGAGTTGCAACATGCAATTCGTGACCTTCTTTACCTCCCGACTTTAAAGATGAGCCCGACAGGACGAGCTGGGCCCTTCTTCTTAACACTAAGAAGACGACAATTTTTGATATGATGCTTAGTTTTCCGATCGTGATTTGCTTGATGAATGATGAAAATTAATAAAGATGAAGAATAACCTACTTAATAACCGCCAGAATGTTTATTGGAAACGTTGAAAGATAATAGATATTTATTCAAAAGCTTGGAAGATAATTAATACATATTTTCTCAATGAATATGTCCTCTCTAACTAACGCAGATTTAAAAATAATAATTCAAAGTATACACAAATTTGTATAAAATTATATAAATAATAATATAATAATAATGATATTATATGTGTCCTAAGTTTAATAAATCAAGCCTCCCTTCAACTCGTCGACGAATCTTTTCACCACGAGGGAATAGTAAGTCCCCACTGCGAGGTAAAGTCCACCAATTAATACCGCAGCAGACGAGGGGTTGATTAAAGACCGGATCAAAATCATGACAGCAACGACGCAAAGGGACGCGTAGTTCCAGACGAACCATGGCATGATGAAGCGGTGATTTCGCTACAAACATGACAAAAATTATTACAAAAATTGTACCACTTTTTGCAGAAATATACAGCTTACCACGCGATATCCATGCACCATGAGGCAGGAAAAGATCAAGTTCACGATCGCCATGAAGATATAGATACAACTGAATGTGATGTAGCGATGGGCTGTAGAAATTAATTTGCATTAACTAATTAATTGGTATTAACTATTTACACTGTTGACTGTGGCAATGGAAAGGGCTGAATTTTAAAATGTGACATATTCAATAAAAATGCTTACGATCTTGACGAATGTAAACTTTCTCGATTTCGTCGGGATGGTTGATCAGCAAAAAGATCCAAATGAAATTCAGGATCATGGAGAGGATGGCCCCGATCTGAAATTGGTTAATTCTGTTCAAAATCCAATCGAGAGTACAATCTTCGCATTTTTACTTAGGAGGATAACAATATTATGAGTGCAATTTTTTAGTTTGATAATACATATTTAGATCTCCTTTTGCGAATTGTAAGTGGGGCGTGGGGCAATAATTTTATAACAAAATAAAACAAAAATACTTACAATGTTAAGAATTCCAATGATGAGCGTTCCATGTCCCTCCGTGCAGCATCCGAAACAACAAGTTCCCGACATTTTGTCACAATTTTAAATTATTCTTCGGGTTTTAACCAGAAAAAAAACTAGGATGATTTTGGCGAGGAAAGTGCAAGAAGCGAGCAGAGTGAGAACTTCCTTCTTCTGGCTTGGCTGGACTCAGAGTGATAAAATTGACGCTTTGCGAAATCCTTTTATTGCCTTGCTCTCTTCTTGGACGCCAGAAATCCGCGTTGGGGACGCAAACGCCGAAAATGGAATTTTGTTTAAACTTGTGCTAAATAGATCCGAGGCAGGTGAGACCTGCCTCGGAAGCAGGCAGGTCAGCAGGTGACACCTGCACCTGCCAAGTGTATGATAATACACGGACACACGGTGTATCAATCCACCCCGGAATGTATTATTAGTCAGGAGAGTCTTGCAAAATTCCCAGTGGATGTAACTACAGGATATACATATTAATTTCGGTTCAGGAGAACTAGGTAAACAAATGCATCCAAAAAAATTTTACCGACCAAACCCCTGTGACCCCCAGTGGGTGAGCTTCCTAGAACTAAACTCATTCTTTCAATTGCTTGGGGATTTGAAAAATTTTCCGGGCGAAATACTGCAGCTACCCGACCAAGGTATTTACGGTTTCTCAATGATACGGGAGGGTGCTACCAACCGTAAAGAAAAGGTCCATACCTGCCGTACCCTGAGTTATATCCCCTTAAACTTTCTCAATATACTGCTGTTTTTAAGTTATTAATAGATTTTGAATTTTGTTGAGTGAACAAAGGACGCAAACGAACTTTCACAACTGTTTTCTAAATTTTGAATTCAGAATGTGGCACAAATTACTCAAAAATTTTACTCCTACGCCTAACACACTCCACCCACTTTCCGTTCTACTCTTTTTTAACTTTTGATTTTTTGCGAGCGAATAAACGAGAAAAAACAAGTTACATAGAAACATCACTAGTCCATGCAACCTATTTAACGACTTTGCGACCTTGCCCTTCGCCGACCTCATGTCCATCTATGCGTTCTAGGTGCACCATGTAATTTGTGACCCTTCTTTATCTGGAGACTGTAAAGATGAATCCGACAAGAGCAGTTTTGTAGTTTGAAGTCAAGAGGATGGCGATTTTGACATGCTTTTTTTAGTTTGTCGATGGTGCTTTGTCAGATGAAATATAACTGCATGAATGTTTATTCAAAAGTTTGAAAGATAATTAATATTTATTCAAAAGCTTGAAGATAATAAAAAAAATTCACAATGGACCACCAACGCCAATTCAAAGTGTACACAAATTTTTTTAAATCATAAATATATTGTGTGTCCCAAACTTTAATAAAGAAATCCCGCCACCCTTAAGAAATTTAGCATATTAAGTATATAGTAGAAGAATATAGTAAGAATAAACAAAATTTGTAGTACTTCATCCAGTAATCCAGTCCGTCCATTTTGACCATTTCATCCAGTATTGCGTCAAAAACCTAATAAATCGAGCTTCCCTTTAACCCGTCGACGAATGTTTTCACCACGTAAACAAAGTAGGTCTGCACTGCCAAGTAAAGCCCACCAACAGGGAGGACAATGAATCCCGTACCAACATGTCCAGCGGCGGCGATCAGGAAAAACAGGTAAATAGTCCCGACAGCGCTGAGCCAAAGGGCCCCATAATTCCAGACCACCTATGGCGTGATGAAGATGTGTTTTCGCTAAAAATATGATAATTTTTTTTTGTTACAATTGTACTAATTTTCGCAGAAATATGTACATGTACAGCTTACCATGCGATATCCATCCACCATGAGGCATGACAAGATCAAGTACACGACCGCCATGAAGATGCTGATACAACAGACGATTAAGTAGCGAAAGGCTGTAGAAATTAATACTTGTGGTATTTACTATTTACTTATATTGTAGAAAGGGTTTATATTTTTAAAAAAATATGCGTACCAATTTCATGAAAGTTAGGTTCCTTAATTGGATCGGGGTACTTCATCGTCATCAAATGGAAGATGACAATGGAATTCAGGATTACGACGAGGATGGCGCAGAGCTGAAATTAAGTAATTAATACTGCTTACAGTCCAGTCAAGAGTACAATCTTCACATTTTAATTTAGGGTAACAATTATTGCTACACAATCGCAATTTTATTAGTTTGATAAGAGTAATCTCCTCGTGCGAATTGTAATTGTAGAAATAATTATTAATAAATAATAAAAATACTTACAATGTTGATAATTCCAATCATGAGCGTTCCATATCCCACCGTGCAGGCTCCGAAACAACAAGTTCTCGCCATTTTCTCAGAATTTTAAATTATTCTTGGCGTTATATAAACGAGAAAAAAACTAGGTAGTGATATATGTAGGCAAAGAGCGAGCAGAGAACTTCCTTCTTCGAATTTGGCTGGAGTCAGACTGATATAATTGACGCTTTGCGAAATCCTTTTATTGCCTTGCTCTCTTCTTGGACGCCAGAAATCTGCGTTGGGGACGCGAACGCCGAAAATCAAATTTTGTTTAAACTTGTTCTAAATAGATCCGAGGCAGGTGATACCTGCCTCGGAAGCAGGCAGGTCAGCAGGTGAAACCTGCACCTGCCAGGTGTATGATACTTGATACTACAGGTTGTATCACTCCACCCCACAATGTATTATTAGTCAGGAGAGTGTTGCAAAATTCCTAGTGGGTGTAACCCCAAAAGATATAAATATTTCGGGTCAGGGGAACTAAATAATGGCAATGGCATCCAATAAGAAATTGTTACCGACCACACCCCCTGTGACCCCCAGGGGTGTGCTTCAAAACTTTTTACATTTTCATCAGAATTACATTCTTAAATCCAAATTTTTGAGGATTTTAAAAATTTTCCGGGCGAAATACTGCAGCTACCCGACCAAGGTATTTACGGTTTCTCAATGCTACGGGAGGGTGCTACCAACCGTAAAGAAAAGGTCCATACCTGCCGTACCCTGAGTTATATCCCCTTAAACTTTCTCAATACAGTGCTGTTTTTAAGTTATTAAAGAATATAGATTTTGAATTTTGTTGAGTGAATACAGGACACAAACGAACTGTTAAATGTAAAATGATGTATTTATGAAATTGTTTTATGTATTTTTGTAAATTGTTGAGTACGCGTCTATAATTGCCCCGAGACGTGGTGGTGGTTGCCATGGTGACGTCAGGGTGGGATTTTTGGGTGCGCGTCTCTCTTTGTTAAGTCGTAGTAAGTAAGTAGGTAGAAGAATTCTACACAGTCGAGTTTTAGTCGTTGTCAAAGTCAGACATTTTGGATTTTAGTCGTCGTGGTAGGAAATCAAGAGTAAGAATTGTTAATTCTTTGTAATTGATGTCCACGATTAATTTGTTAATAGTAAGTCACCAATCAACTCGTGTTAGTGCAGAGCTCTGAATTGTGTTGACAATTTGATAATTTGTTGACAATAAAATCCAGTTTAAGTAGATAAAATAATCGTATATTCACTCAGTCACTTTCTTTAATTCCAACGAGCAAGGCACAATTAAATATTCGTAAAGACACTATACTCCGGGTAGGTGATAGCTTGGTTTTTACACGAACTTTCCCAACTGTTTTCTAAATTTTGTATTCAGAATTCACAAATTACTCCAAAATTTTACTCCTACGCCTAACACATCAGTATCACTCACTCCACCCACCCACCTTCTGTTCTACTTGTTTTTATATAACTTCATATTTATTTGCGAGATAATAAACGAGAAAAAATGAGTTACAATTTGTAACTTACAAACATCAAGTTGTTATTGACATACATACGTCGGATATGAATGAAATATGACTTTGTCTATGTAGATATTTATTGACCTACAGGCCTCAAACCTTCTGAGGATGTTAACGGTCAAAGCATATTTTCTCATATTGGTCATATTTTCCGGTTTTGGGACAAATTCATATTTCGGGCTTTTTTCGCTCATTTTGTTACTTTTGACTTTGACCAAATTCTAAGATGTATGTACCAAATTGCCAGAAAATAACAAAAAGATCAGGTTTCTCAAATTCATGTATTGTTAGAAATTTACATAAATTTATATTTACATTTACTACTATTTACATTTAAAATAGTCTAGAATGATTGAATTCATTTGTAATGCTTCAAATCACCCCGGAACTTGTTTTATTAATAAAATAGAGCGTTATACAAGCCAAAAATAAAAAATAAAGTCATTTTTATGGTCGTATTTTTGGGGATTTTTATGGACATTTTTCATTCATATTTTGAGGTTTTATCCATCATTCATATCCGACGTCTGGATTGAGTCCATTCAATTTGCATCCAGCTTACATAAATAAATGGTATTTTAAACGTATCTTAATAAGTGTGAGTGATGTGTTTAACGACTTTTTGACTTTGCCCTTCGCCGATCTCGTGTCCGTCTATACGTTCGAGGTGCATTATGTAATTTGTGACCCTTCTTTACCTGGCGACCGTTCTTCTTCTCGAAGTCAATAAGATAACGATTTTGATATGCTTTTTAGTTTGTCGATTCTGCTTTATCGGAATAAATATAACTGCATGAACGTTTATTAGAAAATTGGAAAGATAATTAATATTTATTCGAAATCTTGAACGATAATAAATAATTTTCTCAATTAACATATTCTCTAATGCCGATTCAAAGAATACAAAAAACATTTTTTTAAATTATAGATATATTATAATTATATTAAATATTTGTCCCAAACTTTAATAAATCCCGCCACCCTTAAGAAATTTAGCATATTAAGTATAGTATAGTATAGAGTAAGTAAAAACAAAATTTGTAGCATTTCATCCAGTAATCCAGCCCATCCATTGTAACCATTTCATCCAGTATTTTTTCTGCCCAAAACTTACTAAACGGAGCTTCGTATTAACTCGTCGAAGAAATTTCTCACCACGGAGACAAAGTAATTCTGCACTGCCGCCAAAAGTCCACCAATCGCGACTATAATGAATCCCGTACCGACTCGTCCAGCGGCGGCGATCACTGAAAACATGATCACAATCCAGAAAATAGCGATGCAAAGACACACATAGTTCCAGAGTAACCATGGCAGGATGAAGCGGTGTTTTCGCTAAAAATTCGATCAAATTTTTTGTTAAAATTCTACTAATTTTCTCAGAAATTTAAATATGTACAACTTACCATGCGATATCCATCCACCATGAGGCACGATAAGATCAGGTACACGACCGCCACGAATATCATGATACAACAGAAGCTTAAGTAGCGAATGGCTGTAAAAATTAATATTTGTAGTTTTTATTTACTATTTCAATTATGGAAAGGGTTGAATTATAAAATGTGACATATTCAATAAAAAATGCGTACGATTTTGACAAATGTGAGCTCCCACGATTTAGTCGGGGCAGTTGATTATCAAATGGACCCCAATAGAAAACAGGATCACGGAGAGGATGGAGCAGACCTGAAATTATTTAATCCAGATAGTACAAATTTGACATTTTGATTTAGGGTAATAATTATTGTAATTGTCGCAAAAATTAATAATACCATAGGGACCGTCCATAAATTACGTAACGCAAAAATCGCGATTTTCTAGACCCCCCTCCCCCCCTTTAACATGTGTAACATAGGCACGATATCATTGGAGCCTTAGACCCCCCCTCCCCCCCTCTTGCGTTACGTAATTTATGGACGGCCCCATAGTAAAAAAAACTTACGATATGAAGAATTCCAATCGTGAGCGTTCCACGTCCCACCGTGCAGCGTCCGAAACAACAAGTTCTCAACATTTTGTCAGAATTTTAAATTATTTTTGGGGATTTCAAAACCAGAAAAAAGCTCTAGGATGATGTTGACGAGGAAAGTGGAAAGAGCGAGCAGAGAGTGAGAACGTCCTTCTTCTGGCTTGGCTGGAGTCATGATAAAATTGAGTCTTTGTGAAATCACGAACGTTTGTGAAATCGTTGCCGTGAGCGTCAATTCGGAAAACAGAAATCTGTGTGTTGAGAAAGTTAGGAGTTAAATCAAATCTTGTCGAAACATGTCCTAACTCCGTCCACCACTCAAATAGTGCAGTTTTCACTGACCGATTCTTTTTATCTTACTTTACCCCTATGCAAAGTCGTTTTTAAATATAAATTTCTAAACCGGCATTAATCTCACGAGTTTTGAGATATCTAACTGAAATTTTTCATAAGTACTTTAATGTAAGGTTAATTTTGAAAAAAAATTAGTGAAAATTGCCATTTTTCTAGAAAAAATTTCCTCAAAAATAATTGAGATATTACTGGTCGGTTAATACATATGTAAATGTTTTCTTTATATTATCGAAATGGTTGCCATAATTTACTTTTATAATTTTTGTCATCGTCACGACGGGCAAACAACAATGGTCTTAATAAAGTCGAAATTAAGGACGACAGACTTTAATCAAATTTCATTATTAAGAAATGTAATATTTACAACTTCATATTATTATGTAGTACACTCACAATTAGTAATTATTAGTGATTACTTTCAAGATTATCAAACCTACTATTATCGTATACTTCTCGCCTCCGATTACCCGTTTTCTCCAATGGCACCGACCCTCTCTATCACATTTTCATGTACCTATTTAATGTCTTTTGAAAAATTCACTTTCTTCTTAAAGCACTTTTTACTTCTGGGAAATGTTTCAAATTATTTTTATCGTCTTGCTACTATGGCCAACTTACAACTTTGTTATGTACGAAGGCGTCCGAATCTTTATGTTTTTCATTTCCGCCGCAGTAAATCTGGGCGCGAAGGCTACCTCAATTTTGCAAAAATTGGTGAACCCAATTGGCGAACATCGAGGTCAGAAATGTTTCCAGTATTATAATAAATTTCGCATAATTTCGCAAAGTGTGGAGGACGCTGTAAAACTTTCGGTAGTTCTGATTCTTGTCGCGATTGGGATGATGCTTTGTGCGTTTGCGTTTCTCTTGGCACGCCCATAGATGAGAGATTGTGTTGCAGCAGCACTCTATGTAGACTGGGGCTCTCTATCTCTCTTCCCTGGGCACGCCTTCATGGTCGAGGTTCCCCTCCACAGATTTGGAGTATACTTACTTAGATACACAGACGGATAGGCCTGCATGTACAAATGTGGAGGCTGTCATGTTCATAGTTATTAAGATTGCAATACTCAAAATGCTTAAAAAGTTCCAGTCACCCTCCAGTCGCTGTATTACTTGGCGAACGTAGTCTAGATACAGTGACTGGAGGGTGACTGGAACTTTTTAAGCATTTTGAGCTGCAGGTCTATCCGTGTGGGCTAACAACATAATAGACCTGGTGCGCTTGTTCCCCTCTGATGTTTGCCATTAACGGGTGCAGTGTTATCTTATCGGTGGTAATTTTAGAACAGCTTCTGACAATGTTTGGGCATTGTGATTACCTGTGCAGACAAGTTTTCCAGCGTTGTACAAATAGAAATGTGCGTCGCTTTATTGGAATGAGCAGATGCCAAAGAATGCTGCACCGGAAGGAGGTCAGAAGTCTGCCAGGGTTAATTTTGCCCGTGGGTGTGGGACAATTTAGTTTTAGTAGAATAACGAAAGATAGCAAGGCGTGTATATTATTTTATTTGGTTGAAATAATTGGATATGTGTTAATAGCGTTTTGATCAAGGTGTGAAATTGGTGGATATTAACAATTTGCTTTAATTTTAATGGATTAATATAAGTAGGAATGTAAAAGTATGGTGTTATTAACAGAAAATTGTATTTTCATTATTTTTGTTATTTCCTATACTGGAATAAATACCGTTATTTGTACACATGTAAGAAATAGATTGTATCAAATTGATTTTAAATATTTAAGCCCCTAGAAATTCCCTTATGGTAAATTTGAAATTATATTGAATTCATTCATTTGACAGAATACTTCATATTTGTTAAGACTTTGTTTAAAATAATGCAAAAATTATAAATCGAAAAATGGAGGAAACTTGTCACTCACCTGAAATCAGGGTTCGGAAAAACCCAGGGTTTTAATCAAGAATTATAAAACCCATGGGTTTTAATGGGTTTTACCATGTTAATTGGGTTTTATTTGGGTTTTAATGGGTTTTACCATGTTAATTGGGTTTTATTTGGGTTTTAATGGGTTTAATTGGGTTTTATTGGGTTTAAATGGGTTTTATTGGGTTTTATTAGTTTTAAGTAATAACTTAACAAAAATAATTCGGAATTTGTATCTATTCTCAAATTATTTTTGTTTTATAACACTTGAATTCTGTGATGCTAAAGGATGGAGTCAATTGTTGATTTGTTCCGAATTTTCATATATTAGAATAGTAATGAAATAAACCGCTTTAGAATGAATTGAGATAACGTCTTCTAACGTATAGGAGATGTATTTAACTTTTAGAATTTAGTTTTAAGGTAAAACTCAATTAAAACCCAATAAAACCCATTAAAACCCAAATAAAACCCACTTAACATGGTAAAACCCAGTGGGTTTTATTCATTTACAACCCATTAAAACCCATTAAAACCCAGGTCGGAATACCCTGCCTGAAATAAACAAAATACTTCATTGTGCGAAAAGAAAATAAACACCAAAACAACAATAAATAAATTCATGGGTCATACATACCTCCGTATGAATGCTTATGTTTCGCTACATGTCAATTTTTGGACACTTAAATTTTTATAGAATAGCCAATTTTAGTCCAATTCATTCCAAATTTTTCGCACAGTAAATTTTAGTCCAATTCATTAGTTAGTAATGCATCTATGTAATAAAATGAGTAAAAATAAGCTGGAAGTTGTTATCGAGTGCATGGAACCTGCATCTATCTTACATAAATCGTATTTTAAATGCATTTTAATAAAGTTTTTAAATACATATTCTGAGCCAAATGGTGTCACAAATAAGACTTGTTAGTGTGCTGAACGACATTGTATGACCTTGCCTTTCGCCGACCTCTTGTCTGTCCTCACGTCCGAAATGCAACATGAAATTTGTGACCCTTCTTTTCCTGGCGACTGTAAACATGAATCCGACAAGATGAGCTGTGCCCCACTTCTCAAAGTCAAGAAGATGACGATTTTGACATGATTTTTAGTTTGCCGATCGTGCTTTGCATGATGAATGATGAAAATTAATGAAGATTAACCATATTATGTAACCTAATAACTTCATGAATGTTTATTGGAAACCTTGAAAGATAATACATAGACATTTATTCAAAAGCTTGGAAGATAATTAATACATATTTTCTCAATGAACATATCCTCCAACGCAGATTTTTAAAAAAAGTAATTCAAAGTATACACAAATTAGTATAAAATTATAAATATACAATAATTCCATTATATGTGTTCCAAAGTCTAAGTCACGCTTCCCTTCAACTCGTCGACAAATCTTTTCACCACGAAGAAAAAGTAAGACCACACTACCAAGTAAACCCCACCAATAGCGAGAAAAGTGAATCCCGCACCGACCTCTCCAACCACGGTCATCATTAAAAACAGCATCACGGTCAAGGCACCACCGATGCAAAGGGATACATAGTTCCAGACTAACCATGGCAAGATGTAGCGGTGATTTCGCTACAAATACGACCAAAATTAATATAAAAATTGTACCAATTTTCCCAGAAATATACAGCTTACCACGCGATATCCATGCACCATGAGGCAGGAAAAGATCAAGTACACGATCGACATAAAGATGCTGATACAATCGACGGTGATGTAGCCACGGACTGTAGAAATTAATTTGTTTTTGTGGTATTTACTATTTATTTACATTGTGCACTGCATTGTGGAAAGGAACACAGAATATAGATTCTACCAGAAGAATCGATCTTATGTATTCGAGTGATGCTTATGGAAGAACGGGGAGAGCCAACCAAATAACTCGGTGTACATTTGGCCCACCTGGGGGATGGCACCTCCGCATCATCATCATCACCACATCTCCTGGCATCAAAAAATGATGATGAAAGCACATAGGTGGCGGTGGCACCCCCATTTGTGCACCGGAACACACCCTCGTAGAGCACCAAATTTGTGGAGACGCAGCTCAGAATGGTGTGTTCCGGTGCACAAATGGGGGTGCCACCGCCACCTATGTGCTTTCATCATCATTTTTTGATGCCAGGAGATGTGGTGATGATGATGATGCGGAGGTGCCATCCCCCAGGTGGGCCAAATGTACACCGAGTTATTTGGTTGGCTCTCCCCGTTCTTCCATAAGCGTCACTCGAATACATAAGATCGATTCTTCTGGTAGAATCTATATTCTGTGATGGTGATTAGATGTGGATGAAAAGGCAACGTGGATATGATTCAGGTTCACGTTATGTCGAACATACCAGAAGTGAAGGGTTGATCCTTATAATAGATTTTTAGTGAAGGGCACTTTCCAAGAAGTATGTACCAACGAGTTTTATAAATAGTAATAAACATAAATACATACGTATGTACAACAATGGACGCAAATACCAGTGTGGGGCAGAGTGAGATTAGTAGTCAAAGCGTGTCTAGTCGAGATTCAAAGTAGGCATTTTTGGCATGCATGAAATTATTCACGTTATTGGTATTGAGTTACCCCACTCTTCGTTAATTCCATTATTTAATTGATAATTCAGTTATCCTCCCCCTTAACGTGTCCCACCCTTCTCGTCAGAATCTCTGAATTGGGCCAACACAATTAATAGCGTCATCAAAATCGGCAAAACCTAAAATAATAAACCAATTCAGTCAACAGCACAACCAAATAAATTAAATTATTATCATCTATCCACCCACCGACAAAATGAAACTTCTATCAAGCTTAAAATAATTTTCAGGTGTTATCCGTAGCTTGCACGTTTTCACCTTCATTTGAAAATCCCGAATCTGCTAAAACCAAAGAACAACTTGACCTTATCTTATTACCTTATTTTTCTAATTGTAAACACCTTATCTGCCACTCCCATCTCCCAATTTCCTTCCAATTCACACAACAAAGTTACCAATTGTACCCTCGCGGCCTCCAGCTTTTCTCCATCATTACCGTAAATGTACAGGACATGCATCGATAACACGGCACTAGTCAGGTTCGTCAGCATATTTCCAATTTCGCCCACTTTCACAGAAACAATGACAAAGTAGGTGCTACCCAAGATGAAAATTAGGTTAAATCCCACCTCTAAAAATATCCTTCTCCCCATTTTAGCATTAAAGTGATTCACCAGCTTAATTAAAATGCTATAAGCTTTCGAAATTCTGGCTATTTTTGTCCCAGTAATTTTCCCGAGTTTCACCTCAGCCCGAATTGATGACACTGCAGCGGCATATATTTTAACAAAGAAACTTAACCAGACGGACAAAAATGCATTAGAAAAATAGCAATATGTCCAAAATAATCCAGCAATTACAACGGGACCGCTCTGACCCATGAAGGAATCCGCAATAACGCTATATTTCGAGATTTTCAAAAAATCCACTAAAATTAAATCACCCAAAAATAGTGAGATCATGACGATACTGATGAAGAAAACGGTACGGAGAAATGATGTACGAATTTCTTTTCGTAAATCCCGCACAGATTCAGGGTCCCACAAATTAGGCGTGATAAGACTAATCTTATCCACTTGATAAGCCCAAAAGACGAGGCTTTTCTTAACACTGAATAAACTCCAGGTTCGATTTCCTATCGTATATATGAATCCACAAAGAGTGTAACCGGCAAGGATTGTGGCGTCGGATGAGAGCTCCTCTAACCGTTTGAACGCGTTGTAACCCTTGTTGCCGAAGCAGATGATAAGAACTGAGAATATTGTTATAAATAATACATGAAATATAAATGGAATGCTGACGAAGTGAAATTGTAAAGATTTGCGGTAATTTTTCGGTTGAGATTGTGTATCTTTTGTAAATTTGTTTTGGGTTACGGAGAGTGAAAGATATCCGTTAAACTGGACGCCAAGGATGGGCCACTTTGCCCAAGTGAGGAGCAGTTCTTCGGGATGAATTGGTGGTTCCATCGTAAATTTCTTGTTTCCAGTGGGGAACTTAATAATAAAGTTTATGTTTTACTATCACAGTTTATTATGGTATATTTAGTAGATAGAACTGAAGTGAAATATGTATGTGTGTATGTAATGTGAAATGTGAGTCAGATATAGTAAAGTACATATGTACATTGGAGACAATATGTAAATAGATGAATCATGTAATAAAATTAACTATTCAATTAACTAATTATTTGTTGGGCGTTCGACGTTTGCCCAACACAAATTTTATTGTTTTAATTAAGGTAATTTGTGTTTCCCAATTAGCGAAACTCTCGCCTTCTCCTCAACTTCAAAATTTAAGGAAACATATGTATGTACAAAACGATGTATTAATAATAATAGTGTCAATTAAAATATATGATAAATTGACTTACGTATCTATTTATTACACCGAAATTTGTCTCGATCCTATCAGCAAACTAACGGTTTTATCCATGCTAAAATCAATCGTAGTCAGAGAGGTGCTTTTCTCCATAAAATTGCAAGAACCAAACATAATCTTCAAGGGATACAGAGATTTTACGCGTCTCTTCATCACAGAATTTCCTCTGATTTTTCTATCAGCGTTCCAGCCTCTCAACAAATCCGACGACGTCTGATGAACACTTCCGATAAGTCCAAAAACCCAGAATTGTACAATTACGGTCGATTCTACGGCACAAAGTAGCATGAAAAGTACGAGTGGGAGCGGTAACGCGTCGTGATAACCAACAGTGACATGGCCGAAGTCCAAATATTGGTGAGCTGCGTGGCGGGGAGGATACCTTTCTGATGAACGTCGTTGAACACACTGGTCAAAATTTGAAGCCTTTGGTACCGAATGAGTTCCTGATTTCGAGTGAACCTGAAAGATTTTTTTGTCACGTGATAAATAACAGTTCTGCTTCTGGGAAACTCGTAATGAAATGAACTTAACACTGTTCTTTCAATCTTCTGGCAAAACTTTGCACTTTCGAATATGAATGGACTTAATATTAATAGACGCAAAAAATATGAAAGGTTTCCTGGCAGATAATTTTATATTAACAATTAGCAGCCAAATACCCTTTCAATATTTTCCAGAGAATTGAGACTGCTTAACAGTAATTGCTTAACAGTAGAACAAAATTTAAATCCATGTAGTCAAGAATTTTGCCTCACATATTGCATAATGTGGTATCAATCTGTTACCGGGCAGTGTTTTTGTACTCACATTTGTACATAACTGTCGTTCTAGTAATTATGGAAATTTTGTTTGAAATAACACTACATACAAGTGACAACAACCTGCTACCAAACTTTACAGAATCACATTTGTGACTGCATTTTTGTATAGTACAGAAATTGGTAAGTAAATTATTTTCCCCTTACTTTACCAAATAGATCAAAGAGTCCAAAATAAACCGAATCCCGGGAAATAGAACGATGAAAACGGACCAAAAGGCATTCGTCAATTCGAACATATTCATCCAAAACTCGAACAAGGTCAGAATAGATTTCGCCAGAAAATGAGACCCATCTGGAACACTGCAGTCAATTAATACAGCTCCAACAAAGGGTGCCTCACACGGCATGGTAGCTCCAAAAATTGTTAAGCAAAGCGGCAAAATTATTGCGCTATAACATCCCGTCTTCATTACAAGGTCGGCCAATACATCCTTTTTGTAAATTGAAGAACCTGATAAAAAACGTGTGTAAAGCGTTTATCAAAACTAGTGCCATTTCAACACATGACACGTTTCCAGCTTTTTAAGAAATTTTCCAAAATTTTGTATCCCCACAGCCTGCAAAAAAAGAAGTGATTAATTTTCTCACCTTCATCTTCTCCATAGTCGATATAAAGTTGCAACATGTCCACAATTACGCCCCTCTTTGTAAAATTATACACATTGAAAAGATTCAGCAGGGCAGCCCCGTTGGCAAAGAAGATGCAGGTCGCATGTCCCACGGGTGAGACATTGGGGGACAAAATACACCTGTAAAATAACCCGTTCATGAAAACCATTCGCCAAAAGCATATCGTCAAACCAAACATATACACGAAAAATTTCACTCGAGAAGATTCTCGCAGTGTTGTAATTTTCTGCTGCTTCCCATCCCAATAAAACGGAATGGAGCAGCAAGTTGAGCTGATTTTTATGTGCAGCTTTATAAAGTGTACCCACTTTGAGATAATCATTGCAATTTGCATATATGTGATTTATTGTGGTAACCCTATCAATAAGAACGGTAAGATTGGAATGAATTTATTAAAGCAAATTGTTCTTACTAAAATATAAAGTTATGTAAATTGTGTATTGTAAGATACTTTTGACATTGATCTTTACGTAAGGACGACGCTGAAACATGTATCAAATGTGTTCTTAAATATGTACATTAATTTGAGGTCGCTGAGAATGTGATGAACTATGTCTTACATAAAATACCGGCTAGGACGATTACAGTGACATATTTAAATTCGATATTTGTGTGGTAAGTTTATCATTTCGAAATTGCTCTATGGAAAATTACAGCCGAATGGAAAGGTTTTACATAATTTTATAAACCCCAGATGTCCACTAATCCTAAGTGAAGTATGCTAAAGAAAGCATACCATTTGTTCAAATGACAACAGGAAAAGTACATATGCAGCGCATACAGCAATAAATAGATAAATACCTAGGTACATACATATCTACATGTGCAAAACGCGTTTGCCAAAACTACGAATAATTTACAATTCCTTTGTTATAAGTGATATTTATTTCTAGCCGTGACATTAAAACGGGTTGTACATATATATTTCAATTTCCTTGTATGTAGCTATTATATATGACATGAGCAGGACGTACGTATGTCGCTGGGGTCAAAGTAATTACTTCATTTAGAAGCGTAAATGAGTGATCCAAATTGTTGCTAACGTTGTAGAATAAATTGCAGTAAACTTGATACAAGACATCAACACGGAACGTACTCAAGCTTATAAAAAAATACATGAGATAGTATCTATGTAATTCTTCTACACTGCGTAGATCATTTTTGTTACACTTTTTCACACACGAATTCAATTTGTCCTTACGTTTTGCGATATAGATTTCACTTCCGGTACTTTGTTATCTCTACTGTAGTTCATATTTTACCTAGTTTAAATAGATAGACATATCCTTCCTTGTTGATGTGGTATATATATTTGTATATATATATATTTGGTATATATATTTATATTTGTTATTTGACTTTTTATTATATGAACCATGAACAATGAACATCCTCATTTAGTAACATGAGCAAAACACATACGCATATTATTTTTAAGTCAATGTCAATGACTCCTAGTGAAAACATTTGATGTCCAGTTTCAACTTCAACTTCTGCAAACAATGAGTAATGTGTAGTGCAATCCAATCGCGAAATGAGGATTGTTTACCAGGAAAAAAGTTTATCAATCATGACGAGATTAAATTGCATGCGTAACAAATCATAAACCAACTTTCGTGCTAAACTAATCCTCATAATGGGTTTGCGGCTCAATTATTATTAGTTTTCAAACTTATCGAATAATAGTTGGTCAGTTGTATCTCAATATTTATTATTTTTGATAAAAGTTGGCCCGTTGTATCTACATATTTATTACTTTGGAGGCATGGATTAATCAGTTTCTGGTTTGTGCTTGAGCCAGTACTAAAAATTACCTCCGCGTAATAAATGTAGGAATTTATATAGCTGGAAGCATGAATAGTACAAACAATTTCAGTGAAAATAGTGGTAAAGGTCAGGTCTACGATTCGGGGGACATAGCCTGGACCTTATCATGCACAACGCTAGTTTGGCTCATGGTATATATTTTTACATATATACATAAATTTAGTTCGAAATTATGACAACTTCAAAAATTGAGACATTTTACATATTCCAAAAGGTCCCTGGGATCGGGTTTTTCTACTCTGGCCTGGCACGGTCACGGAGTGCACTATCATTAATCATTTTGTGCTGTTGGTCCATTGCTGTGGTCTCGATTCAGGTGCGTTTGCCAATTTTTGGTAACTTTTAAAATGCGTAAGTTATAAAAATACTTTTACAAAATTTTCCAAAATAAAAAGACGCCCTTGATCGGAGTAAGTTTATACAAATTTGCAAGCAAATTTTCCTTCGAAATAGTTGGGAAATTTGCAAAAGTATATAAATTTACGGAATTTACGGATTTTACAATTTTCTCAATGACCTATATATGAGCTTGAAATTTATCAATCGCAGTGGTTCCTATTCGGCTACTCGTTAGCATTAAGTGATGGGAGCAAGTGCCCCTTTATCGGTGGCGTGGATCGTGTCCTCCTCTACGGACTGGATGGCCCCAACTACGACGACGGTGGTGGTAACAGGGTCGTCCCGGAAGTGCTTTTTTGCATTTATCACTCCATGGTGGCCGGAATAACGCCTGCCCTGGTCGTGGGGGCAGTCGCGGAGAGGGGTCGCTTTCTTCCAACGGTAATTACCTGAGTAAATAAATAGCTGATTAAGACTTAGTTGCTTATGGAAGAGATGATTGTCAGAGTGTAGCTTACTGCACAGGTCGTGTTCATGTTTATCTGGAGTACCTTGGTGTACGACCTTGTCGCGTATTGGACCTGGGGGCAGGCGGGGTGGGCGAATAAATTGGGAGCGTTGGATTTTGCTGGGGGCACGCCAGGTGGGCAACTGTGCATAAAATTTGTGGTCATTATGTAAATTAGTAAGTAAGTTGAAGGATTAAAAATTATGCTAAATTGCAGTTCACGTCGCGTCGGGCGCTGCTGGTAAATATAAATTGTATTATGTTTGAAATGCTGGATGGTATAAATATGTACACTTTTTTATTTTCAGCGATTGCTTATGCGATGCAGCTCGGGGAGCGAGAGGGCAGACACGTTCTCAATTACAAGGTATTCGTAGTGTTATATGTAAATTGGTTTAATTTAACCGAAGTTTGTATTGAATTTGTGTATATTCGCAGCCTCACAATTTGGTCCAAGTCGTTCTGGGCACTTCACTCATGTGGTTTGGCTGGTTTGGGTAAGCATAATTATTTTTTCTATCTTTCTTCCCTATTAAATAATTTTGAGAATTTTATTTCTTTTATTTCTCAAATACATACATACACAATCAAAATTATGCTTTTTGCTAATTCACTAAAAGTCGAAAACTGACTGTTTGTTGCCAGGTTTAATTCAGGTAACGCCATGGGTGCGAACGCGAGGGCGGCGATGGTCCTTCTGGTCACGAATTTATCAGCATCGTTCGGTGGGATCACGTGGGCATTGGTGGATTACAGGAAGAATAAATCGTTTTCTGCGTTGAGCTTCTGCTTCGGGGCGGTGGCAGGTATCGAAATATGACAAACTTTTGAATTCTTTTCAGAGCATAAAGCACAAATTTTAAGCCTAAATTTCGAAATTCATGCTTAAGCTAAAGTGTTTCGGAAATTGAGAAAAATTCAGAACGATGGCAACAATTTCAGGTCTTGTCTCCGTAACTCCCGCTTCCGGATTTATCCGTCCCGCCTCAGCCCCGGTATTTGGTATCATTGGCGCCATAGCATGCCGCTGGGCGTCCGGGTTGAAGCACGCCATCCGACTTGACGACGCACTCGACGTGGTCACCGTTCACGGTGTGGGTGGCCTCATAGGCACCCTGCTTACAGGAATATTTGCGGAAAGGGGGATGGCTGCTTGGGACGGAATTACGTGCATCGAGGGTGGTTGGATTGATGGGAACTGGATGCAAGTGCCGGTTCAGATTGGCCACTGTGTTGCAGGAGGAGTTTGGTCGTTTATCGTGACCTACGCAATTTTGTGGATTATGAATAAAATTCCAGGATTGAAATTAAGGGTTGACACGGCTTCGGCCAAATTTGGTTTGGATAAGGGCGAAATTGGTGAATGTGCGTATGAAAGAGTTCCTCCCGTTCCTCCGGGGGGTGAAGGATCGGGGTCGGATCCGTCGTAAAGCTATTAAATAGTTATGCATATTTTGAAATTTTTGTACCATATTTTCAATTTTTGTTAAACATTTTAATGTTCAATTTTTGTTACACATTTTATTATTTTTCAACGCTTAATATTTGTAATCAATTAAATAAACTACGTTGTTTAAATTAAGAACTTTTCAGCTATTATGATACTAATTTACGTTCACACCTTTTATAACAATGTGTACTTAATTTGAAGGTATTAAAGTATTCCGTCGTGTATAATGTTATTCATAATAATTTGTTGACAATTATATTAAATTAAATTAAATTATATTAAACATATGTATTTAATTTCGAATCTAACAAATTTTTGAAGGCACAAAACATTACCGTTAAGCAAATTAGATATTAAGTTTGATTTTGTGATACGCATTGACCACAAGACCACGATAGTTCCAGATATGTTTCAAGTCCTCGGGTTGTTGATTGTACCCGGTGTCCACTGCTTTGACCCAGACATCCATAGCGCTAGTAACATTGACCTCTATCTCCCACTGCGTCCAGGAATAGTTGCTGTCCTGTCTAGTTAATTTTACCACTTGCCAATTATCCCCATTGTCAAAGGACAGTTCGACACGCACTATTCCGCGACCCCTTCCAGCAAAAGCGTACCCTTGCAAAAGACAACAAAGTTATTGTCACTACGGTTTCGGTTTTACGGGTTTGCTACATTTCTTACACTGCAAAGCAAGAAAGCCCAAGAAATATTCGCCATGTAGCGACGCGCCTTATGAAAAATAGCGGAGGAAAGTAATTTATTGCGTCTTGCATTTCTTGCAGGTCAAAATAGCTGCAACAACCGACTTTCTTGTCGTTATTTCTTGCAAAGCGGTTACGTGCACCCGAAACACTTATTGGCATACCATATTTGCACAGATATTTTTTGCACGATTGAATACCTTTCATTCTAATCATACCCCTCTCCACGACTTCCCCATTCTTATGCGAACAGATATAAGAATTAACTGGGGCATCATAAATTGCTGATGCAGAGTTAAAATTGACATTATCTTCGTTCACGGACGGAGCAAATATTTTGTAGTCGATTCGTTGCCATGGTGATGGAGATTCTTCCTCGGAAATTAATATTTTTGAGACCCATTTGACACTTCGCGCCCCGATCAGGCCTGGAAAGAGAGCCCTTAAAGGGAAACCGTGATCTGGTGGGATGGACGCGTTGTTCATCTCGTACACGAGGAGGGGCGTGTAGGTCGCGTCGAGGAGAAAATGCAGTGGGACCGACGCGCCATAACAGTCGCCGAAAGGGTCGCAGTCGAGGCCTTCAAACTGTGTGAATCAATTAATTATCATAATTAATATTCATTACGAGTGTGCTTTCAGACATAATTTTGGAAAAAATTCGAAATAAATACTAAATAGCTTAGGAGACTAACAAGTTCGCAAATGAATTTTTAAGTCAAAATTTTCTGCGAACTAGCGAACATTGTTTTTTTATACCTGAATATGCAACTTATTTTGTCGAAACGTTTCCGTATAATTGGTCCAATTGAAGCCTGCCGATGTGAGAACATCTCTTAAAGAAGCCCCGCCCCAGACAGCGTTCCCAATAGCTCCACCCGTCCACCCAATTCCTGGCGTGGGTTTGACCTCTCCCATTTGCGACCTCCTGTTCCCGCCACATTGAAGTGTGACTGGCATCCTAATTTTTGCGAACTTTTGTTTCACATCGTCCAAAGACAAGGAGAAATTTGACAAAGGTATCCCAACTCCTTGGATAGTTAGGCGGTAAGCTGAAGTGTCCACGGTGGGGACGGGAAGATGATTTCGCACATAGAAGAGGTCACTATAAGAACATATATGTAAATAATTGGCTTAAAATATGCTAATTCATCATGAATTACTTTGGCGTGTAGAAGTTCTGTGGCAGAAGTGCAGGAGGCGTCTCTCCACAAAATGGCGTTGACGTTCTTGTAATCACGGTCGGATTTCTTGGAGGTTCTTTGTCAAAATAATTCATATTCGGAGTTTCGTCTAACGGTGTTTCTAGGTTTCCTGAAAATGAAAATATTTAATAAATTTGTTAGCACACACCGTACGTACTTATGCAAAAAAAATAAATAATCACCAATTCTAAATTTGGCTAAAGTTTCCAACACATCAATCCTATAATGAAGTTGGTAAAATTGCCAGAATGGGGATACCGAGGATCCGGCCGCATTCATAATTCTTTCTCCGCCAGGGTGTCTCTTGACAAAATCCGTAATGTCGAAGACGCCCCGATAAAATGTTACCCACACCTGGAGATAATTTTCAAAATACTAATAATTACATTATTACAATCAAGAATTAAGTACTTAAGTTCCTATCACGCAGCGAAAGGGTACTGATTTGGTCACTTTTCCAGTACCTGCCTGCCTTTTGCTGTTATTAGTACAAATCAGATTTATTTTGTTCACCTTATTCCCTGCACCTCCGATTTGGGATGAAATTTGTGTCGCATTATAGGTCGGCAGATCCAATCTAATCTTGTCAAACTCCAACTTCTCAATTATTTCAGTCACCTCGCTTAATGAAGGATTTAAAATTAACGACAAATAAATTATGATCTCCAGGAAAATAATTTTCATATTGATTCCTCCAGCACACCAGTCTAACATTGAAGTGGTACTCACACCAAAATTTTATATGAAATCAACATGGCTTGAAGATCTATCTGTAGGATTGTTCTTTCTATGCATACTTTTAATTTAACTACCGTTTGTTAAATGAGAACAATCAAGTGTTAAATGGAGTTATTTATATTTGAAGTCGAAAAAATATAGTTCAATATGTGTATTGGTATTGTGGTAGTTTTTCGGTCCATTCATAAATGAAGTTTGAATGAAAATCGACTTGTAATCATTGGATATCCTGTATATTCTTAAAAACTAAATGAATTTTGAACACTAATACAATTAAATTTTGAAGAAACAATTTATACTAATATCGTTCTTGGTTTAAAGACGTGCATGTCACATCTGCAATTAATTTTCGTATTCCAGTTTTGTGCGTGCTGTGATAACGATTATGAAAATTATTGACAGTTAATTATGACATTTTAAAAGTTTTTAGAATTACTGAATAATTAGGATAATATCCAAATTTATTTCGTTACGTACATATGGGCATACAGATGCCCACCCTTAATATTCATAGCTTTCATAGATTATTCGAGAAATTTGGCAGGTTACATTGTCCAGGAGATGAATAAACAGGACAGAATTCAGAATTCAGAATACATACGGTCTTCTAATAGGAAGAAATTCCTCTTAAATATTTGCACTACTTTTTGCCGTGTTGTACATATAAAACATTTTATTATCTAGCATTCAACAAACGTAGGAAAACTATAATGAAGTATTGAATTAAAAAGATTAAAATGAAGGGTTTCACCTTGAAATAACATTCGGAAGCAAATAATTGACATTGTGGTCCAAATTTAATATGACGAATTTGATACAGAGCATCTCGTGTGAAAAATTCTTGACATTTATCGAAATATAGTAGCGTTTGTACATATGTATTTACCATGAATACTCCTCGACAGATACATAAAAATTTTTACGTAATTAAACTTTTCAATCTGAACGCATGTAAATGTGAACTGCAGATTTCTTTTATCATAATTTATCCTTCACCGACTTTTACCTGGAATCCCTCCGTTATTGAAATCAATCTAGAATAAATATTTCAATTCGGTGCACAATTGTCACTCATAATGTACACCTGCGCAAATATCGATATCATTCTGTAATGGAAATTGCTTTCTTCGAAGTGTTTAATTAACATGGAGAATTTTGGTATAAATAAAATTCGGCCCCACTCATTTCATCTATACCAACAACCAGAAAACCATCTTTCTCCACCTTCCCAAAAAATGCATAAGTCTTTTGCCGTCCTCGCCTTCATGGGATGCCTCATGGGTAAAATTTCTCAAAAATTTCTTCAATTTTAATGATACATAAGTTTCTCAATTATTTAATCCCGTAGCCACCACCATGTCGCAAGAATTATCATTTTGCGGGTATCGCTGTCCAGTGGGATATACTTTCATGAAGAGCGACCAGCAAGCCCCGTCTTGCTTCAATCCAAACATGAACGTGTTTGTTTATGCAGCGATCGATTCGTCATATAATGGAGTTTATTTATGCGGATATCGCTGTACAGCAGGGTCCACTTTAATGAAAAGTGTCGCATCTTCAGCTGCTCCAGATTGCTATAATCCGCAAACCGGCGTGTTCGTTGCTGCTGCCAAATGAATCGTGTCCAATCCACACTGAACATAGATATTTTATTCGTTGAGCAAATTAAAAATTTCTTTCATGACTTTTCAAAATTATTATTATTTGGTATAAATAAATTTGGCAATGAAAATTTGCAAGTATAGAATGTTGTACGTAAGTGGAGATATGTTTCTACAATTTGCGTCATATGTAAATGGTAAGATGCATGCGGTCATTTAGTCTACAAAATCTTTGAAAATAAATGCACCTAAATAAGCGTTGAAGGTACTTATCTAAATGAAAATTGAGTGGACACTCATTTCATTTCCGCAAGATTACTGATATTCATACGAGTACAAGTTGTGTATATGTGCATACATATTCGCAGAATGAATTCGTTTTCGATTTAATACATAAATTCATGTACACAAATTTGTGATATTGTCATTGTGTAAAGGCAAATGGATATATTTTTACACCTTTACGAAAGTATTATTTACGAAGGTTTTTCAGGTCAACGCTTTGTAAATTGACGATCATTTTTTTAACCGAATCCACAGTTGCGAAGGTCGTGAAAACTCTCGATATACTTAATTAGGTAATTCATTTGCGCTATGAATTTTATGAACTAAATATGTCAAGATCTCTCCATCCTACAGAGTTAATAAGTATGCAAATGACTCTTTAATGACATGTTTTCGTTTGAAAATTTTAATTTAAAATAAATATTGTAAAATATCTAACATACATATTTTCGTAATTTAAAAATCCGTTCACTTAAGAACGTGTCGAGTTTAGTCTTCATCCTCATCCATCCCCTCAAATCGTGGATGTTTAACAGTGGGAAATATTTTAGAAGTACGTTCCACCAGTCGACCACATTCTTTGGGTGTGCCCCAATTGGGCAATTCGAGCAGGAAGTCTTGAATTTGGGGGATTTCGACATCTTTTGGAACAGCAGAAAAGAAAATGTCGTGGAATCTGTTGTAGCCTCCGCAAAGTTTCAGCTCCAAGTTGACCAGACGAGGGAAGGTTTTCGCGAAGGCAGATTTCCCACCCTGATATCACGTGATAATTTAAAGTCTTACATATTTATGTAATTTATTTTATTACTGTATTCTTACGCAAAGAATTTGTATAAAGTTCATGTAATCCAGAAACGACAAACTTTCCATCGTCGCTAAAGAATTGTAGTGCTTCAACATCCCTGTTCCACACCATCCAGAGCCAATCATGACGTTTAATGGCACTGGAAATCATTGTTAACCAGGTTAAATTTAAGCAGAAACAGCTACTGTTCAGCCAGTATCTCAATTCCTTGGAAATTTTTCTGAGAGGTTATTTGGTTTTTGGAAAATAGTGTAAATCATCTGCCAAGAAACCTTTCAGATTTTTTTCAGACTATTACTATCGGCTGAGCAGTAATCATTCACATTTAAAGTAAAACCGAACAAATTAAACATCAGTTTTTCTTCTACATAATATCCAAAATTGCTTAACATAAGGACACAACTATTGAAAATTAATATCAATATATTATTTATCTCACATTTCCCCACTGCGTACGTAAACTTGGACAAATTCGGCATCACCGGCATGACAAAGTCCGACTTTCCCGTGCACCTCGAATTCCTCGTGAGAAACGACCCCGTACTGACCTCCACCTCCAGAATTCTCAGCGTTCCCCCATTACGAACCATGAGCTCCCGCACGAGCGGCAAATCCAACCAGGACACGATCCCAAACTTTAGCTCGTACAGCTGTGCCGAGATCAGCTGTATCTGTCGTATGATACTCGATCCTGCATATGTCAGTCTGATACTTCCCAATCGAGTCAACCTCCATTGATTCATCTTATGCAACACTGTCCCGCCAATCACAGACTTTTTCGACCTATCAAAAATCTCAACTTTCCTCACACCCGATGGCTCCCCATTCTTTGGAAATACAGCAGCAAATAAAGGACCCAACATTGCGGCTGCCTCTTTTCTACGAATGTTGGCAAAAATAAAGGCAATTTCTTTTACAGATTTTAAATTTCCTTTCGATACTGGAAGCGTCTCAAATGTCCCCAGTGCTTCATAAACCTTCGCCTGCGGGCTAAGAACGATTTCCAGTCTCTCCACCTTATTTAAACACATTAAAATTCGGGCCAAGAAATCAAGATCAGTTTTTCCCAGAATCGCACGAAAAAATCGTATCCTACCGGGGCGGTTGGATTCTATGGTTTGAAAAAATTTCAAAATTTTCAAGTTGTTTTCCGCCGATGCCGTTGGATAGTCCATGTCGTGACAGATTGCAAAGTTGTAGTGTTCAAAGGATCCGTCGGCACGTTGTGTGGCTTCAATGTAAGAATCCAACCAGGGAATCGATTTACAGTATATTTTAACAATGGTCAACTTTCTCATGGGTGGGATGGCGTGTTGTGACCAGGATTTTGAGACCAGGCGAGCATTTTGCAAGTCTTCGAGGCAGAGGAACGAGAGGATGTTGGACATGACCTAAAATTTTCGAATTAAACACTTCAAATTTCTTAAAATATACATTCTAAATAAAGTCGCGTTAAATTTACTCGAGAGAAATACAGGGTGATACATTGGGTGAAATTTATTCAAGTTAGTTAAAATTTATACGACTTTAGATAAATTTCACCAAATTGTTGTCCCATCATCTATTTCACTCAACCTCAAGCAAATTTTACAGAACTTTATTTAGATTGTGCAGCTCGATATGCAATTAAATTAAGTGTACTTAAATTACCAACGAATTGTCAAATATTGACTCAGGGGCTCGACCACAATCCATTTTCATCTTGACAATTTTTGCCTCCATTTTACACTGCTTAAAATGCTTTTTTCTCACTGCTTAGAATGTACGTCGTGACTACGCAGATTGGCAGTGAGGAAGGGCGATAGATTCGTCCAGAACACAGGCTCTCCCTCTCCGGGAAGGTTGAGCCTCGATAAGATAAAGCTTATCATCACCAACCAGTCAATTAATCCATGCAATACAGCAATAAATAGCACGTGTGGTTCGATACAATATGCACGAAGCAAATGTAAAGTGTATAAATAACTAAATATTATGGTATCAACTAAACCACAATTATTTTTCGACATCATGTCACAATTTGATGGCTTGGAGACAAGGAGTTGTACATAACTACGACGCATACATATGTAAATACCAAATACGAGATTGTTGAGTACACAAAATATTCATGTTGCATATTTGAATGTGTAATGCAGGATTTATGACCGTGACAATCGTACTTGTTGAAATGCGCATAACTAAAAATGGCACCTGCTTTGGGTCAAGTGATGCATTGGACAATAAACCGACCACCACTCTGTCAAAACGGTAATCTGTTGAGCAATCTGGACAATGATCCATCTTCCAGTTGGGTTGGACAGGTAAGTAATTAATTATTAAATGAGCTTCCAACATGAGCAGAATGACAAGATAAGCTGCTTACATAAGAGTAAAAATAATAGTTTAATTACATAAACGGAGTTGTGTAACTGGGTTTAACTAACTATTAATTTACAATTATTATTATACATATGTACATATGGAATAAGGGCATAACGCATCAAATCTGTAAGTACATACACGTTAATTTACGCTGAAAGCCACAATTGGACATCCCAAATATTTAAATTTGAGCAATCCCTCACTTATAACGAGCCCGACGAAGCGTTATCATAGCCCGGAATGTCCCTGTAACAACCGATCTCATAAATTTGGGCGCAGCGACCTTCGTAATGACGAACATCCCCTCCTTCCCCATCCTCAGGGGGCGACACGATTTCATAAATTTTGCCATGTACGCTTTCTCCTGAGTATTTCGAAATTCCATTCTTCTCCAAGAGCTAACAGTCTTCTTGGCATATGCTGAAAATCTGGCACAAATCTCAAGTGCAGAGGCCCATAATAGTTGTCCAGAAAACGACCAAACTAATAAGATAACCTAGATATCAAAAATATTTTTGAAAAAACTTACTTTTTATCAATCAGTTAGTTTGACCTTTGACCTCTTTGCACTTACCATTAAATTGACTCCAATCTCTTCTCTAAATAGAATCACCGTAACATTTGCAAACAATACTATTTGACCGATGAAGCTGTGCAGGCCGAGTATTATTATTCCATCAATGTCCATCAAATGTCTGTGAATCAACTCAATACATCTGCACGAAAATTACAAATTGATCATTTCTCACTATAGCATTAAAATATAAACAGTAGATGTGTTTCGTAAATTAAAACCTGTAATGAATCGATAAAATCCATACTGATCTGAAGGATTTGACACATTTCTGATTTTTAGCTCCAATTCGAAACTCACATTTTAACAAAGGCATGACTGAAACTATACACAAAAAATGTACGAGTATTACATATATGTATGCGCGTAATAGATGATAAATAGTGTCAAAATTTGCATATGGTTTGCTACACAAATTGAGACAATTTGTGATGATATTTTGACTAAATTCGTTACCAAGATTGTGACACCTATCCGAAAGTGGGACTTACAAATATAGATGACGCACAGTAGCAGCCAAGCGATAAACATCAATTGCCACGCTAAACACGCATAATACGAAACGATCACAGCATAACCCACATAAACAATTGGATCAGTCGCTAATTGTGGGGGCAGAAGGGTCGTAGGAAAAACTGGAGTTTCCGGAAATAGCAAGTAATGTGCTAGGCTTGGCCAGGGGACGATACACGAGAAGAAAAATATCCCCGATAATAGCAAAATATCGAGTCCAAATCCAGTCAGAGATTTTTTCGGGTCGTAATTGGACATCCATTCATCTCCGGAAATTAAAAAAATCATCAGTTAAAAATGAAGATATAGAAACCATTTGAATTTGATTATGTAATGTGGCCCGAAATTAAAATTCGTTATCAAATGGTGACAAATTATGATCAAATTCAACGTTGGAGAATTATGTAAGGCCATTAATTTTTTTTAAAGTTACCCTCAAATTTACTGCAATATCGGACTAGTCTTGTCAGAACTTGACAAATATCACATTGTCGCACATTAATGAAGATGCTAACACTGCTGAACATGACAAATGCAAGCGACAGGACGAAACACATTCGGAAATATTCATTCGATTTTCCTCCTTTCCAGAGAAATATTTCCAAAGTTCTCCAGGAAAAGAAGACTGTAAAACTTATTAGAATGGTTGAACCTAAGAGTAAATTTCTTCTTGAAAATTTTGTCGTGTAAAACGTTTTAGTTTCTGGACTAAAGTGAATACTGCTCGACCCTAAAATTGTGGAGGGCAGGAGAGCATGTTTGATCAATTGGAGACCGTATTTCGAATACATTTTGAAATTTCTGATAACAATTATTTTACGGGACTACGTTTTGAGCATTCTCCTTCTTTCACTTGTGAAAATTTACCACTTTATTTATTTTTTTCATGCACGTAGCGTTGCCAAAATTATGGTGGAGATAATTCACCCATAATTCTGAGTTGCATACTTGTTTAGTATTGGTCGAAATTCGTAAAAAATGACGTTTAATGGCAATATCGATCTAAATACAGTAGTCCTTTAATAAATGTGAATCAATTCGAATACGTAAATAAAATTGACCTCGTATAAATGTAATGCTTAAATTCTAAAGGTTACGAAGTTACGATTTACTGCATACATATACATAATTATTGTGTCGGACAACCTACTTGATGGGATCGATTTGTCCATCCGTTATACATACTCGAATGCTTCAACCTTTTTAAACTATGGGTGGGTTGGGATTTCGAGATTTCAATTTCAAGGAAATGATAGGATAGGTAAATAAATATATAGTTTGACCTACAATGCCATGTGGTCACGTTAGTTATTATTGTTTAAGGATTTCAGATATCGCCAACAAGGTAACAATTCGAATTTTCAGGCTGACTTCGTCCCGTTTCCTGTGAATCATGTACATACATAGGTATGTAGGCAAATATAAAACACTTATATTCTGTTACATCCTGACGATCATCATTGATGATTCATCAATCTCAATCTGGTAAATGTGTAGAATTTATGTATTCAATATTCTCATTACATGTGACATATGTAGATATTTACTCGTATGTACAAATGTATGTAGCTCGCGTTAATTTATTGTATCTGTTGTGGCAGTTGGTTTGACCTCATCGTCCTTATCGACATGGTAAGGATAGAACGAATGTCTCCATTTACCAGTAAAAACTAGAGGTCCCATAGCAAAATTTCATTATTTAATTTAAAATTTACTAATAAAAAGCGCTATCCGTTGCCACAAACAACCTTGCCATAAAAGCCTCCCGAATCGACTTTGTTTTTGAAATTTCCTTTGCCCAACAAAGTTATATGCCAATTACATACATGGCGTACCTCGGGATGTAATATTTACGATGATTAGAGCTTACATAATTAATGAGCATAAATAAAGCCATTACTGAATTACACACCTTTAAGTATATACATCTGCATAACTTTTACCATACTCCTCCATGAGACAGCATTTTTTCACATGTACTGATACATATGAAACCAGATTTTCTCCTGTGCTCATTTGTTTTCATATGACACACACCTATTTTTCTTAGATGAGGCTATAGTTACTGCAGAAAAAAATCATCTAAGTAAGCAATCACTACGGTTTTGAAAAGCTTAATTTTTTCAGATCTAGGTCAATTTCCATCCGATTTTAATGAAATTAGTGCCCAGAGTTAATTATGGGAAATTAAAATTGAACTGCCGAACGGGAGGCTAAATTTTGACCTGTTTCTGAGATATGGAACAAAAACACCATCAAAAATGTGTTTTTGGGAGATTAGAAAAAAAATGAAGGCATATATGATAAATGTAAATGGGAAAAAAGTTGATAAATATTTTTTAGAAAAATATAAAATTAAAATACCCAAAATCGGTTTAAAACTGAGAAAGTTTTGATGGTGGTCAAAATATTACCTCTCCCACCACCACGGAGTTTAGTTGCTAAGGCCCACCACTCAGAAAAGTGATAATTACGAATAATATAAGGGCGAAACCTATTTACTTATAAGATCGTTATGTCCGTCCGTCCGTCCATAGGTTCGATAATTCTTAATAATTCGTAACGGATTTTGAACGCTGAACATGAACAGTTTTGATATGCAACACCCCTGGAATAATGTAGAGGAGGTCAACGGTCACATATGTTGAAACTATAATTATATAAAATTGTCGTTCCCAACATATGTAGTTTTGATCTTTGACCTCGTCCTCACGATCATAAGACCAAGAATATTTACGGCGTTGAATTCGACGTGAAATTTCCTTTAAAATCACACCCAATATGAAAATTAAGGTTAAGCTTAATTTTGCACCACAGCCTCTAGCGCTGTGGGGAGCGGTCCCATTAGCCCTATTATCGAACTCAACCGAGATTATTTGGGAGATATCCTGCCCACAGACAGACGGACGAACAAAACCATCGCAATATGCAGCTGACGTTACTTAATAAATTACTATCAATGCGATTAAAAACTATTCAATAAAACAAACCCAAAAAAGGAAAGCTTAGATGAGACTAAGAAGTGCGATAAAAAGTATTTAATAAATTTCTTCTCCAGTGAAGGATATAGAATTTTAATATTTACAGCATCAGCGCCCCATTTCATTCACTATCATATAAATATATACAAATATACAATAACTATCAAATTTCAAATATGATGTAGCGAAAAATATTAAAATCATTTGCTAATTGTTCTTGTCACTAAAAATTTTTGAATGCTTGCAATTATACTTAAAGTTGACACATGATACACACGTCTTACCAAACAGTCTACTACTTTTCCCAGTAATATTATATAATACATGAACATGTTGCTTATGTGATTTAGTCAGTTTAAAATAAAATGGGGCGCT